GTGCAACTATAGCTCTGAAATGTACTGGAACAATTTACTAAGGCTTGTGGTGGATTCTCCATCTCTGACCATTTTAAAATCAAGATTGGATGTTTTTCTAAAAGATGTGGTCTAGAAATTATTTTGGTCCCTTCTCTGAAATATGCCTGATTAAGAGTATAAATTAAAAACCACAGAAAAGAGTCAAGACTGTGACTATATAATGTACATCATCAATACCCAGGCTGAGAGGTCCAAGTGACTTCAAGTTTTTCACTCTTGTTGATCATTTTGATTAGATAACTGTGTTCCCTATTTCCTAGCTTCCTCGTTTGAAACAGTTAACTATAGGTTTAAGGACCACATTCTCCTCTCACATGAGTACATGGATCCCATCGAATCCAGTGGGAGCTGTACACACACTAGAAGCAGAACTTGTTTTAAAAAATTGTCTACCTTTGAAATTCAGTCAGTTAAGAGACTATGTGAGTTTACAAGTAGGTCTTCTAAGTGTGTGACACAGATCCATACTTTACAAGGATATATATATAATTACTTGAGGAATCTTCAGCTCCTTCTTGATTAAAATGGAAGAGAAAATGTTAAAAGAAATACACTTAGTATGGGGAAATTTTTTGTTGTTAATTTACAGCAGAAAGAATATAAAGCATTCAGAAAACATTTTCCATATTTTAAGGGCAATTCAAAACATTTTGCATGGTTCCAGCAGCTGAGTTCTTCAACAGATCCATTGATTCAGTGATGCTTTACATGCACAGTTACAAAAATAAAACTTACAAAAAAGAGACATCTATACTAGTTTTACATGCAAGTCTTGGGGACCCCCTGTTGGGCACTAACTACTGTGTGGAACTGCTGTAAGCGTGCAACCATATAAGGAGGTCATGTTATAGTCTTTATTTCTTTCACACGGTATTACTTATGTCAAATGTGTTACACAAAGGAGCAATTCCATATTCAGGAGGCAGAAGGTCATCCTGCTCCTGGCACTTGGGAATCCCGATTATCCAAGAAAGCTGCACTTACTTATCTTCTATCAGAAATAAGTTCCACAGTCAAGAAAGGGGTAAGCAGAAAAGCTTTTTAAATGGGAGAACATTTTTAACTAATCAGTGGTCACATTCACTGAAAGGTTACAACTCTCTTCAGCAAAGTACTTAAGGATATACTTAACTTTAAGCATGAGTATTCCCATTAAGTTAATGGAACTACTCATATGGCTAACATTAAGCATGTGTGTAAATATTTTGCTTTATCAGGGTCTTTATCAGTAGATACACCACCAGGCCCATGGATCTGGAAGGGTAACTTGAAATAGCTCTGTATTTTACTGAAAATTTTAAGTACAAATATAAGAGGTTAAAATGTTTCCACTGAGGTCATTACTCTTGTTGGGAAAAGATCAATTATATTTGTCATAATGCCAGTTAATGGGACAAACATTTATATTTCAAAATGTTAGAGTATTTCCAGTATTAATACAGAGCATTCCAGTTCATTCCAAAGGAGTTTATTTTCAAATTCTGTTCCCATTCTTTCTGTGTGGAATACTTAATGTGTAAAGTTCCATTTCAATTAAATATATGGAGATTGAGGCTTCCACGGTCACAGCGTGGGAGCCAGACAATTTTTTTTTATTGCATCAGGTCATAAAGCAGCAGTTCACAACTGTACAGAGTTCTGATAAAGAGCTATATAGCACATACATTGTAATTCAATGCTGGTAGTGAAAGGAAGTAATTAAAAACCAGGTACAATTATAGAAAAGGCACCAAGAGTACTGACCCCAGTTTTTTGTTTTTTTACTCTTCTTTTAAAGACACCAGTTTAAAAGCTTTTCATTGGTGAATATTTTTAGGCTTCACAAAAAGCCTGGAGTTTAAACATTTTAGTTGGTGGCCAGGATCAAGTAAAAGCAACTATTCCAAAACTAACCATGTAAAATTTACACCAACCATTTGGAAATTTTAAACGGGTACTAGCAACATGAAGTCACAGAAGCAATTTCTGATTTCAGCTACACTTGTGTAAATCCAGAGTAACTGCATTGACTTCAGGAGAATTACTAGCATATAGAGCTGAGACAAGTTACAGCCCCCACCTAAAACTTTGGCCTAGTGCTACTTCTGCCCAGGGCTGCCCTGACTTAAGGTGCAGATATAAGTATCGGTATTTGGAGTCTGCTCAGATCCAGATGAACCATCCACTCGGAGAGCAGTCATTTTCTGGGGCAAAATCCTCCTTCATTTCATAAATCTGGTGCAGTTTTTTACTCCTGGCGGGTTGCTAATGCTGGCAAAGAAAGGGAGCCTCCACAGACCTCAGCCCCCTTTCCCACCTGAAAGAGATTAAACAAGGTGCAGAAAATGTCTTGGTTAGTTGCAGTAAGGCAGCACTAGCTGTTGCTGTCTTGTGAGCTGTGTGAGCAGCACTGCTATTATGAATTCTATTTACAGGGGTTATACTTTGTCCAGGAATCCATCTTGGAATCACATTCTGTTTCATATTTTGAAATTTTAGTTTGTACTTTTTTTACGAGTGCTCGTAAATGGAAGATAACGGACCTGTTCTAGCTTATATCACTGTAAAAACATCACCAAATAAAAATGGCACTGATCAAGAAATGATTTTTGTTTAATTATGGAAATATTAAACTGAAGTAAAGGCTGCTGCTGGTGACAAGAGTCACTACTTTCCAAGAGAGTTTCTGAAGGTCTTGCATTGTGCACTTTTTATCCAACAAATTGGCAAGACTTCTGAATGAACCACGGGACAAAAAAATAATCACTTCAAAAACATTAACTCAGGTTCACTTGACAGCAATTCAGAGCTGTTTGGTCATTAATATGGATTTTAAATTCCATATAAGAAAAAAAACATGTATATGTTTTGTCTCAAACCTAATTTAAAAACAGCTCAGAATGGATCTAAAGAAGATCTTGACTGATTCCGTGTCTTCATTTTTGCACTTAGCACAGGGCTGGAAAAAAAGAGATCTTTGTGCCATCTCTGTGCCACCCAAACTCACAGGCCTGGCCAGTCCCCACTATACAAAAGAGCAGCCTCAGAGGTGCTTCAATTTATATTCTAGCTGCACTGAGCCATCCAAGAACAGCCAGAGCCTACTCCACTCCACCCCACCCAGACCCCTTATACTGAGGAGCAAGGAAGAGCTACTAGAATGGCTCTGCTGGGCCCAGCTTTTCTAAGTATGAGCTAAAGACAAAACATCATCCTTAGATTTAATGTTCTTGATTGCTGTCTGTGTCCCCACAACTTTGACACTCTTTAGGCATATTCTTTATATTATCATGCAGTACATTATAAAAATAACCGACTACCTGTACAAACATACACTTTTCTATCTTCCTCCCCCCCCCCCTCCAACGGGGCTATTGACTATGTGGGAAATTCAAAAAGTATTAACGTTAGCATCATCTTTTAAGTTATTTTCCAAATGCTGTGGAATACAAGCTTGTGAAGCACATGCGGCCTGTGAATGATGTAATTGTGCACTCTGCAGCATCTTTCAAAAATGAACACACCATTGTTTTGTATTTCATACCTGGGAAACTCAGGAATGGTATGTTCTTTATGTTGAAGCAACAATCAGCACTACAGTTTCAAAATTTGTACAAGCCTATAAACCTTGTAACTAGAACAGGACTCATTTGACCAAGAAAGGTGTTGCATATTTCTGAACAGGATCTGTACTAGTGCAACTATTGAATGCTACAGTAATCAACTTGTATTAGCATGCATATTCCAGTTAAACAGGTATGCACCAGTACAGATGTTGCATGTCCTAGGTTGAAGTTGGTAGCAAAACATGTCTTTCATTTTTCCAGCAAAAGTGTGCTTTTTTAGTGTAGAACTTGCATGTTGAAGTGCTAAACACAGAGACAGCATGCATCAGTAAGAGTCACAACTTACCAGTTGTGCATGTTCTCACCGAGACCTATAGTGATAACAGGTGAATTTTATATTACAGTAAGAGGTGTAACTGAATAATGCACAAGTTGCACTACCTGTCCTGCATCGTAGGTGATATCTTGTGCATATGTGTGATTAGTCTCAACATTAAATGTGCACTAGTGGACGAATTACTAAGGTGGAGTACAAAAGAATAGCATATATGTGTAAGGACAAAATCAGAAAGGGTAGAAAGGCACAAAATAAGTTATGCATAGCAAGGGACAAATGTAATTGGAATTCTTTTTCCATATGGTTTACTGCAAAGAGTGTCATCACTCTGAATGCTTTAAAGGCAACATAACTTCCAAAATCAAGTGTTGGCTCTACATATGGCCATACATATGACACCACACTGTATTAAACACAATAAAAATTAATGTCGTTGATTTGTTTGGCAGGACATGGAAATGAAGTATAAATTTCAATTCATTGTAAAACAATATAAAATCAATATTTGTAATACAGTTCAATAAGGTTTCATCTGGCTTTTTGATCAACCAAATTAAAAAACAAAGGAAACCAACCAACCAACCAACCACACTCAAGTGTCATTGTGCATTCTCCAAGGCAGTTTCTTCTCTTTCTTTGGTGCTTTTATTTTATATAAATTCAACCAGGAGCAGATTTTCAGATTAAACCGACATTGGAAAGTGTGGCAAACTGAGAGAGGGACTGAACCAAAATTCAAAATGACGTAGAGAGAATGAGAAATTCGACACTGGAGCAAATTTAGCCACCTATTGGACTGCTTACATGTATGGGCCCAGATATTGAAATGTATTAAGGTTCCTAACATCTACTGATTTCAGTGCGAGTTAGGAGCCTAAATAACTTTGAGGATCTTGACCATGTAATTACAGCACATACCTGGTCAGCAGCAGCTTATGTGGTGTGTCACAGTCACAATGATGTCATAATAGTGCTTGCATAATCTTAACTGGTTATCCTGGACACGACTGACTGAGAGGCCAGCTGCCTATCAGTACGGGAGCTCTTTGGAGGTCGGACTGGAGGAAGTATTAAACATGAATACATTTGTGAGTGAGCAGGAGGTAACCGACAGAGGTAAGGGTCAGCATTGTATTCTCTATATCCATTCTATATTCACACACACATTTAGAAAGCATAGGCATACAGATAGATTAGCTGTAATGTTCTCCATTTATATGACCAGAACCTCAGCTGCTGTAAACCAGTGTCGCTCTGTTGACTTCCTTGTAGCTGTGTTGATTTACACCAGTTGAGGAGTTGGCCTACAACCTCTGGACCTGGAAACTTTCCTGAGAATCTGAGTTTCTATTGAATGCTATGGGGGAGATCTTCCTTCTTTTCTCCCAGTTGTTTTATGTTTATTATGGGTCCTCATTTTGTGTCTTCTGCATCCATGGAGCCAACATCTAGCTGTGGAATCCATCAGAGATGGGGGAAATTAGAACAAAAAATGCAGAAGGACTTCTCCTCTAGCTGTCTAAATGAAGCTCTGCTAATATCTTAAATGCAGGATAAGAAAGCATGGGGTCACATTTCTTAGCAATACTAGTGCTCCTAATCCGACATTATCATTACTGCAGCTAGATGGGCAATGTAGGATAGTTATGATTCAGTTTCCATCTGGGTGTTAGAAGTGAAGGATGCAATTTGCATAAAGGATGGGCAATCACCTAACCTCAAGCAGTCTTTCCTGGGAAGGGGAAATCTTGTTAGTTCCTCCTTCATGCTTTGGAATGCTGTTACAATGGAGACAGATAAATATGGCATTTCAGAGTTCTTGTTAAATAGTAAGTCTCCTGGAGAATTTCTGCCCACAGTTAAGAGATACATGGGAGATAAAATCCAGATTTTTTTAATATATCAGCTGTTTCATAGTTTCCTAGAGTTTAAGGCCAGCAGGGACCATTAGATCATCTAGCCTGACTTCCTGTATTTCACAGGCCATTAAAATTTCACCTAGCAACGCTACACTGAACCCAAAAACTTGTCTTGGACTAAAACATTTCAGTCTTTAGGAGACTAAACTGTTGTGTGCCATAGGCAGAGAACAGGAGAGACTGCGATTCCACCAATGCCTGAGGCCCTTGCAATGGTAGAGAATTGATTAGGTCAGATATACCCAGATGATCCTAGCAGGTGATCAGTGCCCCATCCTCCCACCCAAAGGTCCCTGCCAATCTGAGCAGGGGAAAATTCCTTCCCACCCACAAATCTGGAGATCAGTTGGACCCTGAGCATGTGAGCAGGACATCTAAGGAAACAGATTCTCTGAACCATCTTGGAGCACTGGTCCACCTTACCAGGTGTCCCTTCTCCTGCTATGGTCAATCCCTGATGCTTCAGATGAAGGTTGGAGGGAACCACCTGACCCCACTCACAGCGTACACCTAGTCAATTGTACATGGGGGGAAAAGTCCTTTATGACCTCTACAGGCAACCGGATGAACTCTGTTCCATGAGTCTTCTCTGCAAGTATTTAAACGACCATAAAATAAGATTAAAGGCTTTCTTCAAAACAGGGGGCCTAAAGTTAGGCTTCTAAATTCATACCGATGTCTAAAAAGTGGCCTGATTTTCAAGAGATACTGAGCCCCAAAAAGTTCCCAGCATAGCCAATAGGTACATGTGGGTGCTTAGGATTTTTGAAAATGAGGCCCTGACTAAGCAAAACTCTTAAACATGTGCTTAACTTTAGGTCTCTTTGTTGGCTTAGAGTTAAGCATGTGATTAGGATGCTGACTCAGGGCATAGGTGCCTTAATATGGATTTAGGAGCTTAAGTTTAGGCACCCAGTTTTGAAAATTTTGACCATAAATTATTATTCTGTATGCGATCAAAACTCTTGAATTGATAGTAAAGAGGAAAAGGAAGATTATTTTACGTGGGGATCTACTTGAAAGGAGCAAATTTTCTTCATTATGATTTCCCCACAAACACATTGGGTAGTTCAGCAAACAAACCTGGTCATCAGGCGCAAGGAAGAGGATTTACATGATTCCCAGGTCTACTTCTCACAGTGTTTGGGCTCCTGCAGAATCTTTACTGGACAGTGAATTAAAGAGGCTGGCATCAATTTCTACTATCAGTGGTAACCAGCCGAATCCTTTTATTTAATTTCAGGTGTTTATAATGAGGTTGTTTCCCTCCTGGCAAATATGGATGAGCAAGATAAGGGCAAAATTGCCCTCAGGATTGCCTGTATAGCTGAGACCAAGCTGGCTAGCGTTATGGCAGTTCTGCTAGAGAAACTGGAACAGGATGAGGTAGGGCAATTTCATGAAATTACATCCGCTTTCCATGTGTCCACACCAAATTCTGCCTGACGTCAGGGGGGTATGGGGAATGCATGGGGGTAATTCAGTATAGAACTTGGCCTGGCGCACCATCAGTATAATCAGTATTCATCCTTCTGTTCTCAGGCATAAACTCAGAATGCAAAATGCTGTTATTACAGATCAGGATGATATAATGCTCTATAAAGAAAGCGTTGTCCTTTTACACACAGTGGAGTACATGGGCTGGATATAGTAAAAGTACACTATAGGACTTGCAGTAATCTCTTCCAATAATACTTTGCCCTTCTTTAGCATCTTCATCCAAAAATCTTAAAGCACTTACCTAATACTAATGAATTAAGACTCACAGCACCCTTGTGAGAATGGTAAGCATTATCCCCATTTATGGATGATTTGTGTCACAGGGAATTAAGTTACTTGCTCAACACCACTTAGCAAGTTAGTAAAAGAATGTGAATAAAACCCAAGTGAACTGACTCCCTGCTCTAAATCCTAGGCTCATTAATTATGCACGTGCACAGTAGTGCAGAATTCCCCCAGGAGTAATATTCAGACCCCTTTTTCCATTTATGAATACTTGCATCCAACAAAGTCCATTTCTCTATTAAGGGCCAACACAGAAGGCATTTTAGTTTCAGTTAAAGTACTAGGAGGCCAAGATAAGCAGTTCAGTTCAGAACTGTACTTGGCCTCCTACTACTTTAATTATTTGAATTACTCAATTAATTATGTTAATTAATTTGATTAATTACTTGAATTACATAGTGCCTATGTATTCATAAGTTATCAGAGACAATTTTCAATTAAACAAATCCTCCTTACATTTAAAAATGAATGGAAGGAGCTTCTCCCCAGTGGAGCTGTCTGGTATGATTGCAGTTTGCAGAAGCAGTCCTTTTCAAGCAGAACCACTGGACTGTTTAGCCAGTCAAGACATCTGATTGGCTTTGAACATTCCAAAGTGCTTTATGACCTTGGCATGCAGGTCACATAGATTTAGAGACTCACAGGAGACAGAGATGGAAAAGACCCATTGGATCATCCAGTCCATTTCCCTGCTAATGCAGGAGAATTCCCAGCAGTCATTTTTCACTGTTTGGGCCAAACTAATTTTAAAATCCCCTAATGACTGAGCTTCCACTACTTTCCTAGGAAGACTATGTCATAGCCTAATAGACCTGTCTCACAGTTGGGGCATTTTTCCTGTTATTAAATTGTGTGTCTTTTTTTAATTTAATCCCATTACTCCTACTTTTATCTAAATGTATTATACTAAAAAATTCCTTTCCCTCCTTGGTGTTCACACCCTTCAGATAGGTGTATGGTATTATCATGTCTCCCGCATAGTCATCCCTTGGCCGCATCTGCCATAGGCAGCTCTTTCAGGCTGTCTTCAGAAGTAGAGGTCTGCTTGGGCCCAATTTTTAAGCCCAGCCTGAACGGGCCCCAAGCCCACTCACCTCACCCTGAGAGGGTTGAATCATTTTCCATCCTGATCCCAACCCTTCCCCCCAAACCGGATTCTGCCACCACATCCTGCTCATGGGGCCGGCGCAGCGGCAACAATGTGCAGCAATGGCTTCATCCTCTGACACTGCCCCCTGCTGTGCTGGGTATGTGCTGCAGAGAGAGAGAGAGATGCTGTGACTCCTTGGCATCCTCACTCCACAGTGCATGCAGCGCAGAAAGGAGGTGGTGGCTGGCAGGAACATGCGGTCACGGTTGTGCCGATCCCATGGGCTAAAGGAGGAGAGCCGACCTGACCTGAGTCCAAGAGGGGTTTTCTCATCCAACCTGACCCTGACGCCTGTAGTCAGGTCCCGTAGGATTTGGGTCAGGTTGCAGGGCTCTATTCAGAAGTCAATTCCGCCACCCCCCTGCATTCTTTTTTTTTGCTCTCCCATGAATTACTTCCAATTTGTTGAGCTCTCTGGGAATGTGGTGCTAGAAAATGCAACAATTCAGATGCAGTCACACCTCAGCTGAACAGAGAGGAACTGGTGTCTTCCTGCTTTGTGCCATGATCCCTGTGTGTAAAAGACCCAACCCACATGGCTCTTTGTGGGAGCCATCACACCTTGCATATACAAGTTGACTTTGTTTTTCACTGTCACCCCCAGGGCACTTGTTGCTTCCCACTTTTCTCCCTCCCATTATGTCAGTTACTTCTACCTCCTTTCCAGATGTGCTAGTTGGCAGTTTTCTGAAATGAATCTTGTTCTCTGCTCAGGTTTTTAATTTCTCTGTGTCCCTCTTTAGTTTTTCTCTGTCCCAACTGATACCACAACTCCTCCATATTTAGTATCATCTGTGAATTTCTACACTGATGGGCCTCATAAAAGACACCTTCGAGTGTGCGACTGTCAATGTAGATCTAACTGCTGAGCTAATTTCCCCTAGGAACTGTTGAGGACTTACTGCGGCAGTTGGGTATTTTGTAATTACAAATTTACAAATTCTGTCTGGAGTGGATAGAGCAAGGGCAAGGTGCTCATTTTTATTGTTTGTTTTAAATAAATGAAACTAGATAAGGGGGCAGTGAAGGGCGCTTATTCTGGCTCTTTTCTCTCCAGGAAGATTAAAATATGTAAATTGCTCAGCTGCTTCTGAAGTGCTGCTGAATGCGGTGATTGTGGAGGGCATGGCATGTTTTACACCAATTAAACCAATGGATTACTTGTGTGAGCATGCAGGCTGAGGAGTCAGTGTGGCCTCATGGATAGGATTCTGGATAATGACTCAGGAGACATGGATTCCCTTCCTGGCCACGGACCTGCTCTGTTATGATAAGACTTGGGCTAGTCATTTCATGTGTGGATTGTAAACTCTTTAGGGCAGTGGCTTATTAGCCAAATTACTGTGTGGACATCAAGAAAACCTTTTTCCAATTGTTTATTCTCTTTTATGTTTTGTCCGCAGCAAGACAGAGTTGACATTTACTGTGTCCTGGAGAAAGTATTACAGCAGGACACCGGGGCCCTAGAGAGTAGTCTACTGAACGAAATAATAACCCTGGTCTCAGACGACATAAGAGAGACTCAGGTAAGTTAGTTCTCCCGAGATACTAATCAAAGGATCCAAAGCTTTAACTAATTAAAACTTTCTTTTTTGGGGGGTAAACTATATACTGAAACGAAAATGTATTCTCCTGTTAGAGGCCCACACCTTCCTCCAGACCAAAGCCCAGGTCCTAGACAGCACTTGTGCACATGCATAGGATGGGAGAACTCACATGCGAAAGTTACACATGTGCTTAAGTGCTTTGCAGGATCAGGACCCGAGACACATGATATCAGACACAGAGAGAGGCCTATGGTTTCTTAACGAGCAAGTCTTTCCCGAAGTCTACTAGGGATTTCATTATTGATCCTGATGTTATGTGGAAGGCGCTCTGATACTATAGCGATAAGTGGCAGTATAAAGCCCCAAGACAGACAGAATCTGAGCTATCTCCAAAAGAAGCAGCATTGGATTTAGAATATAGTTTGCCAGCAGGAAAACTCATGGAAAAATCCCTCTCTTGTTCCAAAGGAAGTCAGCCTCCTTTTGGGGGACAGTTTATTCCAGGAAAGCTCTCTGAATATCTTGAAGCCGCCCAGTCTGTGTCTCACTACCTCCTCAGGGAAGAGCAGGGGAAAATATCATATGACATCCACCACAAGTAGCTAATAGTAAATAGTCTAACTAAGCAGCTTGCAAGGAACTCAAAGGCTGAAAATTGTTTAGCCAAATGACTCGATGAATATTTATGACTAATGACTCTATCCACAGAAAGTTGGGAGGGTTCATTCACAACTTATGCACAGAAATAAGGACTTGACTCATATAAACAACTCTGGCTAGTGCAACCGGCTTCAGTCACCTCAGTCTCTCTCTCTCTCTCTCTGGTTTTTTTTTTTTAGGAAGCAACAAATGAACTAAAAGTGGCAGCTAGCAACACCTTAGTGACCCTGGCACGCTGCTATTTCTATGAGGTGATGTCTGAGCTGCAGTGTCATCTGCAACTACTGGAGGAGCCTGAAGAGTATATTTTCATTACGCTGGGCAACCTGTCATCAGCTTATGGTATGGTAACGTCCATCTTTTGTTTCAAAGTTATTGTCTTTCATTTAAGGACAGGGGATTACACTCTCTACCTAAAAATGTTACAGCTAAACAGAGCTCTGTTTGCGTGTGTGCATGCGTGTGTGTCTGGGGAGAGACACAAGATTAACTGCTGTTGCTAGTTCTTGGCTTCCAGATCATGAGCTATCCAGACGGAGGTGCAAGCTCTAACTTATGCCCCTGACTGAAGTTCCTTGAGGATGGGAATGAGTGGAAGATCAGGTCTAGTGGACCTCTTCTCCACCCCACTTCCCATCCTGCCCCAGTGCTCTCTCCCCTTACTCTGGGAGTGAGTTGGGCATCGGGCACAGCTGTACCCTGGTAGAGGATTCCCCTCTTCAGGGTGAATCCCCCACTGGCTTTCAATGGCTGCTTTAAAGCCATTCTGCTCTGCTTATGCAGCATAAAATGGCCTAGGAGCCCATAGCATCCTGCCCCACGGTGTTTCTAAGTGTATTGTAAGAAGGCAGAGAGCAGCTGATTATCTTTCTTCCTTCTCTTCTGGCCTTTTTCTGCAGCACTTAAGTGTATCCCATATGTGGGAAGGACCCTGAACGCCATGTTCTCCATGTTGGAGTCAGTCAAGGACAGCAGGCTGAGACAAGCATTTTGTGGTGGTAAGTGCAGCACTTACTGTAGTGCCCAAAATGGATATTGAGGGGGGTCTTGGTACAGATTGAAGTGACTGACCAAGTTTGCAAACAGGCCCTGAACTATGCTCCCTGCCCTGGATTGCACCAGGTGCTGCATTCCTTGGCTGCCGTGGCACTCAGTGAAATTGAGAGTGCTCTGTACTTTGCAGGAGGTGCTGAGCATTTGTAAGTTCAGGCCCTTTATGACTCATGGATATAATTTAAAATAAACAGACACAAAGGCTGACACTGCCCATCTGCCAGGAGGCTCCTGGGGGAGGAGGTGAAGGGAGCAGATTTCATTACCATACATTTAAAAAGCCCCTGTTTTCCACTCCTCCACCCATTCTCTCCCCTTAGTTTCTTTATCATCATCTCCTTTCACCCTCTTTCTCTGTCTTCTCTTCCTCTCCACTTCTCTCTTCCTTTGCTTTTCAGGTGATGCTCAGTAAGGGGTTAATCCTGTGCCTTTGAGATAAATGGGAATTTTGCCATCAACTTCCTAGAGAACAGGATTGGGCCCTAATTCTTCTTAGCAAGGACACTAGATACACCTACTTTTAGGGCAAAGTGCTCCCCAATACCTTCAAATCCCAGTAAAGCCAATGGATGTTAGGGGCACTGAACATCTTTCAGACAAACTGTAACTCAAGATGAAATCATACAGTGTTAGGGTTAAATAAACAATAACTGCAGAGGTCGCGAGTCATTCAGAGGAGAGCTGGTTGAAATATTTTGATTTTTAATTATATTTTCCATAATTTTTCTTTCCAAATTTGATGAAAAACAAACCTGAAAAATGTCAATGACAATTTTGATCAGGAAGTGTGCATCCAGTGTTTTGGAGCAGCTAAAGAGGTGGCTGAATTTTTTTGATTTTTGAAAAATATAAATGATTTTTATACTTTGCAATTTTGAAGAAAAAAAAAAACCTATCAGTAAAGATTTTTCATTGAATTTAAACTGCTTTTTCAACCAGCTCTAATTAAGAGGTAACAAGGAAGGGAGAAAAAATTTGTCTTCAAATGATGGTAATTGAAAAAAGATTGAGAGATATGCAAATTTAAAAGCCTTTTCAGAAACAAGACATGGAATGGGGGGAAGAGAAATAGCTCAAAATTGATGTGGGATTTCAGCGTGTAGTCCTGAACTAAGCAGTAGCTGCCATGGAATTGTAGTAAACTTTAGGCCTGGGTGAGTTCACTGATAAAGCAACTTCTCCTCGTTACTAATATGTCCTTTTCACATTGCCTGTCTTCTCTCCTTCCATGCAGTTCTGGAAAAATGGTCAAGGGCAATCAATCTATTTTTGACTACCTGGGGTAAGAACACATTCCCCAGCATGGGTACATTGCGATTCTTCGATAGAATTCTTCCATTCTATTGTTATGTGACCAGCAACTGGCTGAAATGTGAGGAGCTGCAGGTGAGAATTGCTGGCTTTCTAAACCTTTAGCAGAAATTGTAATGTTAAATTCTATGTATCTGTCACTCTCTGTGATGATGGCATTTAATGGTAGGTCCTTTTGGATGGAACAGAGTGTCATGTAAAACATCTAAAACCCATATATTTATAATGTCACCACATCATGGAAATTCTGTCTGTACACAGTGTACATAGCTTCTAGTTTTATGCACCTAATGTGCAGATGAACACGGGATAGTGGGCTAAATTAATTCCTGGTATAAATCCATTCAGCCCCAGTGGAATTACAGCAGTTTTGAGTTGGCTGAGAATGCATACTAATCTGGGGAATATTTTACCTGGTATAGTTGTGAGGTGCATTAGAATATAATCCTGAAACCAACCCTACGAATCCCGGTTCTTTACCAGGACATATTGAGATAGGGCCGTTCCTACAGTGGAACAAGGGAAGTTGCACTCATTAGAAATAGAAAAGGTGTGCCCATTGGATGATATTGAATGAATTCTTAGGAACATAAATTCTGTATCTCATCTATGCAGCTCAAGCAGGCCATCATCAAAGCCCTTGGTCCCATGATGAGCCTCCTGCTACACAAAGAGGAGTATCACGATCTGGTATTTGAACCGATCTCATGGCTCCTTGAGCAATATAAGGAGGACATTGATGTTTTTCACGTCACCAAGGTGAGGTACCACTCATTAAGGTAACTGTCTATGCGTGTGCATGTATGAACTGCATGAGGAATTTGCTGCCAGTGGGGTTTCCTGGTCTAGACAGTGACTTGTTAGATAATAAATATCCACACGAGTTCTGGGTTTATGCACATGGTGACCCAGGCAACAAGATTTGTAGGTAAATGCCTCTTATGAAAAGCATCCTCTGTTTCCTGGGGAGGATGATAAGGAGATGATAAACAAAACACCTGCCCCACTCCCCAACAAGATACTCCCTCCTTGTGATTTCCCAGTACATCCTGTCAACTCTGTGTCTCTCTTTTAGATCATAAGCTCCTCAGAGCAGGGGCTGCCATATGTTGTCTCTGGTCAGTACCAAACCAACTGTCAGTGGTTGAAAATTAATACTAAGGAGGCTTGAGGGTGATTGCTTTGGCTTATATAACTAGATCAATATAAAAGCATTGCCTGTCTATTTCATCTACCGTTGTATGCAGTGCTGTTGTAGCCATGTTGGTCCCAAGATATTAGAGTGAGAAGGTGGGTGAGATAATCTAATTAAAGATATTGTCTCACTCCCCTTGTCTCTCTATTTCATCTACCTCAGTACCACATGAGCAAGAAGTAATGGGCCATATTCTGTCTTCAGTGGGGCTACACAGTTGTAAATGAAGTCATGAGACCAGCTATAACATCTTGGTAGTGATATTTACTCACCATCTCTGTTGGTTGAAGCTTTCTGGTACAGAGTATGTGGTCACTTTTGGGGTTGAAATACCCATGATTTGGAGGGAACCAATGCATCATGGACTTGTTTGATAGCATCAGGGCACTACACAACTGCTTAAACATAGTCAAATATGTAGATGGCATCAGAGACATTCTGGAAGCTTCAAGCAGCAAAGGAGAAAAGTGTTTAGATGCAGGAAGGAATTCGATTTTCATCTTTTTTATCAATAACCTGGCAGAGGACATAAACTCATCACTGATAAAGTTGGCAGATGAGATAAAAATTGGGAAGTGGTAAATAATGGAGAGGACAGCTCACTGATTCAGAGTGATCTAGATCACTTGGTAAACTGGGCGCAAACAGGTGCATTTAAATACGGCTGAATGTAAATGTATGCATCTAGGCACAAAGAATTTAGGCCATACATAACATGATGGCGGATGCTGTTCTGGGAAGCAGTGACTCTGAAAAAGATTTTGGGGGTCATGATGAATAATCAGCTGAACACGAACTCATGCTGTGGCCAAAAAAGCTAAAGCTGGGATGCATAAAAAGGGGAATCTTAAGTAGGAGTACAGTGGTTATTTTATCTCTAAATCTGGCACTTGTGTGACTACTGTTGGAATACTGTGTCCAGTTCTAGTGCCCACAATTCAAAAAGGGTGTTGATAAATTGGAGAGGATATTGACAGAAGAGCCACAGTGATTAAAGGATTAGAAAACATGCCTTATAGTGGTAGAATCAAGGAACTAAATTTATTTAGTTTAACAAACAGACAGTAAAAGGGTGTGTGATGGGGTTTACCTACCCTGCATTGGTTCAGCAGGGGTTAATCATACTTTGTGGGCCGAGGAGGCCATGCCCCCCCATATCTGCTGGGCATGCTTCAGCTGGAACCAGAATATGAAAGAGCCGCTCAGCTCAGGCTGAGATGACTGCCGAAGGGAGCAGAGGTGCATTGCAGGCTCCCGCAGAGAGACTGCCAGAACTCCAGGATTCAGAGGCCAGCCAGACTGTGGCTGCAACCGACCCCCAGCCACCCAGTGCCAGAGATGGAGGAGAGACCACAGAATCCCGGAGACTACCAGCTGCGGAAGAACGGGTGGGAAGTAGCCTAGGTGGACTAAGCACTGACCCAGTTGAGGTACCGGGCTTTGACTCGGCATGTTTTGAAAGGATCCCCGCTGAGTTGGAGGCAGATACCGGCAAGACAGGGCCCTGGGCTGGGACCTGTGGAATAGGTAGGAGCCAGTAGAGAAGGGCTGGCCTAGGCAACACTTCCCTGCCGCAAAAGGTGGTTCTATTGACTCTGGCCACTAGGCCGCATTGCCCTGCTGCCAAGGGCGGTTCCATTGTCTCTGGCCACTAGGCTGCACTGCCCTACTGCGAGAGGTGGTTCTATTGACTTTGGCCACTAGGCCGCACTGCCATACCTAGAAGGGCAGCTCTAGTGACTCGTGCTGTTGGGCCGTGGACCCTCACCGAAGGGCTGCTGCACTGATCCCGACCATTAGGCTATGCTGCCCTAGGAGCCAGGACTGCTGCGGTGACTAGGGAGACTAGGCCAGTGGGGCCACCCCAGATCTACTTCAATTCCTCCACAACCTGGTACCAACCTGACGGGGTGGACCTGTCCTGTAACAGGGTGACTTAATTACAGTCTATAATATCTTACACGAGGGACTCATGTTTTATAATGGGCTCTTCAGTCTAGCAGAGAAAGGTGTAACTTGATCCAATGGCTAGAAACTGAAGCTAGACACATTCAGACTGGAAATATGGCTTACATGGTGAGATAATTAACCATTAGAACCATTTACCAAGGGCTGAGGCGGATTCTCCCTCACTGACAGTTTTTAAATTGAGATTGGGATGTTTTTCTAAAAGCTCTGCTCTGGGAATTATTCTGGGCAAGGTCTATGGCCTGTGTTGTACCGGAGGTCAGACTAGACAATGGCAATAATCCGTTCCAGCCTTGGAATCTACGAATCCCCTGAAGCTGCTTCAGTCACTACATATTGCTCCTGTGTGTGCCCACCATCTGACTTTCACCCTCTGTTGCAGAGTCTGAGCCAGCTCTTGGAGGTCTCTTGTGAATATGAGATCCCTCTACCTAAAGAGAAGTTTCAAGCCATCTGCAGTGCTCTGCACAACCAGGTGAGGGGTGGTTTTGCTTGGATCCCTTGAGCTTAGGCACAGCAGATCTGAAGCATATTAACAATCAAAATCTATCGAATGATAGTGCAGAGCCTGGGGACCTCCTCATGCCTTACTGATTTCTGCAGGCTCAGGAGTAAGCAGGTAGCGGTCTCATTTTCTTAGCTAATATCCAGCTCAGTTTGTAAAGCAATTTCACCATAAGCCTATTATCAGGGGGAGTCAGAGTTGTATAGTAAAAACTGTGGCTGTGTCTTGATTAGATCAGCTCTGCTGCTCAAAACCCTTTAGCTTCTCTTATCTAATGTATTGGTCATTGTGTTTGATTCTTGCTGTGCATTCAGTACCATCTACCTGGGGTTCAGACCTCTATTTGGACAAGTAGGAAGTGGAAGCTTAGAAATTAATTGAACGTTTTCTTTTCAATTGCTTCTGATTAGTTTTTCTTTGACCATTTCCTTTCTTCCCACAGATCTGTTCTCAAGCTAAGCCGCTCAGCACGGAAAATCATGCAGAGCTGTTCAATTGTGTAGTTCTGCTAGGTAAGGGGAAGATACTCTGAGTTACACAGTGGTTTCCTTATAACTTCCTTTGTCAGGTATGGTAAGAATAAGAGTTCTGTTGTCAGTGAGGACGTGATTTGTTCCCTTGCAGCCCGTTCTTCTCCTGACGATCTGATCGCATTTTTGCACTCGCAGCTGGAGATTGAGAATGAGGCTGTTCGTGTGGCCTCTTTGAATCTGCTCAGTACTATTGTTGGTGCCAACTGTAAGTAACACAGGAGCAACTGTGCCAGCTGCCCTCTTGGCCGACATGCTGAGGGTTGAGTTGGGGACATCCAGAGCAGGGCCGGCTTTAGGAAGTGCTGGGCCCGATTCGTGGAGCTTGTATTCACCAGGTGACGCTCCGAGTCTTGGGCAGCGGGTCCTTCACTCACTCCGGGTCTTCGGCAGCACTTCGGCGGCGGGTCCTTCACTTGCTCCGGGTCTTCAGCGGCACTTCGGCGGCGTCTCCTTCACGTGCCGCCGAAGAGACGGAGGGAGTGAAGGACCTGCTGCCGAAGTGCCGCCAAAGACCTGGAGCGCCGCTGGGTGAATAAAAATTAAAAAGGCCACTGGGCACGGGGCCCTGTTAGGCGTGGGGTGCGGGGCTCTCTTAGGCACGGGGCCCGATTCAGGAGAATCGGGGGAATCGGCCTAAAGCCGGCCCTGATCCAGAGCTAAAAGCATGAGCTACTATAGATTGAGCTAAAGAACCAAGGCTTTGTAGGCACGGCAGGGCTGTAACAGACTCATTGCCTCTGCAAATGGGGCACAGAGTCTCTATAACACACAGTCACCAGTGGTTTGGATCTCCACTAAGGGACCAAATGCTGCCCTAAGTTACCCACCTATGGCCACTCAGAAATCAACAGGTTCAACTAAGTGCTGAATGTAGCCCAAGATATTTTTCAACTTCAAATACACAAGTTAACTTGGGGCTAATGCATGTTAACAATAATCAGATAAAAATAAAATAGGACTCCTGACTCGATATTCGTCAGTATTATACACTATAGATTAGATTCTGAGTTCTGTTATACTGGTGTAAACACAGATTAACTTCAGTGACCTCAGTCTATCTAACGCTTTTATAATATTTCCATCATGGTAGTATGATGGCACTCTTTATAGAAATGGAATTACTTTAGATTTACACTGGTGTAACTGAGACCAGAGTCTGGTCCTATGTTTTTCCCACTGATTCTGTAGATGAGAGAAGCTCGGTACTATTCTTAAATAGGGCCCTTTGAAATCCAGGATTAATTCCAATGTGGAAAGTGAGTGAGTGGAACAAAGAAGTACTGTACACCTCTCCTTATCTTTCAGTGCCCGAGACAAGAGTTAAAAACTTTCTGATTGTGAAGGCAGTGAAATCCACTTTCAGTGATCAGAATGCTAAGGTAAGATTGTGTGTGGAGCAGTGAAATATTTCAATTTTTTTCAATGCTATAGGATGAATGGATATCTGGGTGGAGCTTTCATTCAGATCCAGAGGAGAGACTGCAGACTAGAGAAGGCATATCATTCTCCTGCCAGTGTTAAATGTATCCACGTTTATAATCTAAGGAGATAAACTCAAAAGCATAAGGAGTCTCATATCCTATCTCCTATTTCAGGCAGAAGGGATAACAATAACTCTTGTGTGTAATCTCTACTCTTGCAGGTGAGGAAGGCAGTTCTTCATTTTATCAGGAAGCTGCTCAGTTCAGGAAGTGTGGAGAATTGTGCAGAATGGGATATGGTAGCATATGTTTTCCGCGAGTTCAGTGTGTCCACCAGCAAACTGGTAAGGAGAGTTCTTAACACTTAGGACTTGGTCCTACCATACTTGCATGCTGATTGCTCCCCTTGCCTTCTGTGGGAGTTTTGACTCAAGGACATGAATGATTAGAGCCAGAATCTGATCAGTTATATTGGTGTAAAGTCAAGGTAACTCCACTGACTTTAGTGGCATTACTCTGGATTTATACTAGTGTAACAGAGATCAGAATCTCACACTGGGTATTTACATCTAACAGAGTTACCTAGGTTACTCAAACCTCTGATGAGACATTGAAAATTCTGAAAACACCATTTTTCAGTGAAATGTTCTTGTACAAGGAAGTACATCTTTTTGTTTTAAATAGACTCTCCAGAGAACATAATGATGCCCAATTCTGTGGCTGTTGAAGCATACATAAACTATCAGCAAAACACCGAGGTTATGCAGGCTGCATCCCAGACTGTCAGGAGCCTGGAAAAGCTTGCTGCATATTTCCCTCACTACATACTCTACTCTACATGTACTAGTTTAAAAATATCTTCAATCCGTATTTCTATCCATGGACACAACCAGGGGCTCCAGACACTTTGTGCTCCATGACTGGATCCATGATATGTATTAACATAAACAGTTCAACTTTACAGTAAGTTGTTGATAGAATCACACTATTTCACTAGGAGGGTGGTGAAGCACTGGAATGCTTTACCTAGGGAGGTGGTGGAATCTCCTTCCTTGGAGGTTTATAAGGCCCAGCTTGACAAAGCCCTGGCTGGGATGATTTAGTTGGGAATTGGTCCTGCTTTGAGCAGGGGGTTGGACTAGATGACCTCCTGAGGTCCCTTCCAACCCTGATATTCTATGATTCTATGACACTCACTACACACAGAATGACCAAGCTGGTTGGGGCATCAGAACAAACAGAGTGGATCCCCCTGGTTCTGCATATTTATTTCCACTGGGCGGAGTCTGAATGTTTTTCCTCAGAGATAAAAAGATGAAACAGTTTTTCAAATTTAAAAAAATTTAACACTGTTGGGGAAACTCTTTTGTGTTCAGTGAATCATTCCCTTCGCTTTAGGGTTTTCCTAAGCCTGGGACCTGACCCACCAGTTAGGAGTTTCTATTATTCTCTTTCCTTCAGACGTTTGTGCACTTCCAGTGCAATATAAAAGCAGGCATAGGTCAATGTTCAAGATGGCTTCGTAAGAGAAGGACACTGATTCTATAGCCAGTGTCTTACTACTAGCTCATAAGTTCTATATAGCTATCTCACAGCAGGGTACAACACTTCTCACCCAGGCTATTGAGGAAGAAAGCACTATCCAAACCCTATGCATTGACATCCTGCAATGTCTGGACACCTCAGTCAGTGGAATGACCCAAGTAAGTGACCTGTTGCTACTGCTTCTTGAAATAGGGACGTTCTTCCTTACGTTCCTTGTACCTCTCCACAAGGAAGCTTTTTGCACAGTCAGCATAATGGAGGAACAGCATGTCAAATTCATGTCAGGGATGGTGTGACCCCTTCATCATGGAGTAAGTGGTTCACATTAGAGAAAAGATATAAAGCAACTTAACTGGAAGGAATCATGTTGCAGAGATCTTCTCTTAATTCTTTCCACTGTCTGAACCCCCCCTTCTGAAATTTAGATTTGGTGATCCTGGATTTGAACAGATATTGGGGCTGGGGCTGTGCCTTACATAGGTCTGTAAAGTTCTGGGTGAGTTTATGGTGCTATCTAAATAGCTCCATAATGCTCTAATGCAGGGAAAGAGGATTCACCAAACAAGGCAGTGTATTTAAAAGACAGAGTGCGGGGGCACCGGACAGGTAGAGTGAGATGATGGGGAGAGAGAGATGAGGTGATAGGTTAGGGAAGGGTCAGTGAGGAATACAAGGAGAAGCTACATGACAGGGAGGGATTCAGACAGCAGGATAGTGGAGGTGGGGGAATGGAAATAGCTATGTACTGAACAGTCTCGCTCTTCTCTGCAGGTGTTATGGCCAAGGCTTCTGGAGTACGTGGTGCCAGCTCAGTACACTGGTACTTTGGCGCCTCTCTGCAGATGCCTTAGGGAACTGGCTGAGAAAAAGCAGCAGGAAGGAGAAGAAGCTGCTTGCCTCGACTACAGTGGAGCAGGTTTATAACAGAAACTCTTTCATTTATTCTCTCCAGGCACACTATGAAATGAACAGGTTCAGTCTGCTCCAGTTCTCTCGTCTGCAATCAGGAGGCTAAAATGAATGAGGGATGGTCTTGTGATTACAACATGGCCATGGGAGGGAGCTAGGAAACGTGGGTTCTGTTCGCAGCTTGCCACCAAAATTCTGATGTGATCTTGGGGGAAATCACTTGATCTTTCTCTCTCAGCTTCCCCACTTGTGAAATGAAGGCGTAATTAATGCCAACCTCATAGAGGTGCTGTGAGGCGGAATTCATTCCTGTTTGTAAAGCATTTTGAGATGCTCAGACTGAAAGCACTGTGGAAATGCAAATTATTATCAGCTGTATTCAACATTGGTGGGCACGTTGGAAATGGATAGGTGAATAACATCAGCAGGACTCAAGTATCAGGGGGTAGCCGTGTTAGTCTGTATCTACAAAAACAACAAGGAGTCTGGTGGCACCTTAAAGAAGGGAGTTTCTTCGCAAGTGGAGAACCAGTGTTGACAGGGCCAATTCAATCAGGGTAGATGTAGTCCACTCCCAATAATAGATGAGGAGGTGTCAATTCCAGGAGAGGAAAAGCTGCTTCTGTAATGAGCCAGCCAGCTGGCTGGAATTGACACCTCCTCATCTATTATTGGGAGTGGACTACATCCACCCTGATTGAATTGGCCCTGTCAACACTGGTTCTCCACTTGCGAAGAAACTCCCTTCTCTCCATGTGTCAGTATATAATGCCTGCATCTGTAACTTTCACTCTATGCATCTGAAGAAGTGAGGTTTTTACCCACGAAAGCTTATGTCCAAATAAATCGGTCAGTCTTTAAGGTGCCACCAGACTCCTTGTTGTATCAGCAGGACTCTCTGCAAAACCTGGCATAATTAATGATAGTCTGTTTCTTTCCCTAGTGAAACTCCCTACACCCCAGGGGCTGCTGGCACGACTCCTGGTGAGTAGACCATGAGAAATGTGAAGTGAGACAGTTAACTATAAAAATCAGTTTTATAGCTAGATGCTTATAGACAGGCTGAGGAATGTGTATGATTGGATCTCTCTCTCTCCGCCCTCTCCTGAGACACACTGTTCTGCATCCTCATACTAGCTAGAATGCTTTCTTCTTCAGGACGACACTGCAGTAGAAGCAACAACTCTATTGTATGGTCTCCACAATGGGAGAGTCTGAACTATTCCCTCCTTCAGGAACAAACTGGTATTGTGCTGACAAAACTTAGCCTGTCCTTTCTCTCTCATTGACAGGTAGTAGCCTCATCCCCTTATGAAGGAGAAGGACATGGATGTGCTGCCTTGCAATTACTTGAGGCCCTGCACCACAATATCCATGAAGCAGTGGGTGAGATGTGGGTACTAAATATCCCACCTCTGCTGCAGTACATTGAAGGTAAAGTGCTAGTTAGTAGGAGTGCGGTCCATGGAGAATAGAAGGGAAGCCACAAAATGCAGCTTCGTATTGACATGTGTTGTGCCATTCCTGCTGCAGTACATGGGAACAGTGGGGAATTGAAATTGGGCTTCTAGGCCCTCACTTTTCCTTCACCTGGATAACTGTGAACCACTGGGGTAAATCCAGAGTTTAACCACTGAGGCCAATTCAATCAGGGCAGAATCAAGCCAGGAAGGTTTCAGCTGAATGGAAATTTTACAGCAGTTCCCCCCACACCTTTGCTAGGTTATTAGTTGGGAAGGTGAATACACATGAAGCTGGAGGTTAGTGAAATATTTGGAGTTACATATATAGTCTGATTTTGGAAACTGAATTTTTCTGAAAATTAAACCCCATGTTTACTTTCAAGGGTGATTCAATTAAAAAACCCAGAGTTTTTCTTTCTGTAAGGAAACCCGAGCCATAAAAGCTAGGTTGACCAAGTGGGTGCCCTTTGTAGAATCTAGGTATTATGGGCCTAAAAATGTCTTTCACCAATTTTACAGTGGTATGAATCTATTGACCTCCGTGGAAAAAACCCTTCAGTCAGTGTAGGCCAAGGGTAGGCAACCTATGGCACGCGTGCCGAAGGCGGCACGCGAGCTGATTTTCAGTGGCACTCACACTGCCTGGGTCCTGGCCACTGGTCCAGGGGGCTCTGCATTTTAATTTAATTTTAAATGAAGCTTCTTAAACATTTTAAAAACCTTATTTACTTTACATACAACAATAGTTATATATTATAGACTTATAGAAAGAGACCTTCTTAAAACGTTAAAATGTATTACTGGCATGCGAATCCTTAAATCAGAGTGAATAAATGAAGACTCGGCACACCACTTCTGAAAGGTTGCCGACCCCTGGTGTCGGCTTTGTCTACACTATGGGGTTATGCCAGCAGAGCTCCAATGACGTAGCTGTGCCAGTACAGTCTCTGTGGAGTATGACAGACCCTATGTGGAGCACAAACCCGATATCTTTCTGAGGAACATCGGACCCCAAAATGTTCAAGTGGGTTTGATATTCAAAAAAAGATTTAAGAAATGAGCTGTATCTTCCCTAGTTGTTGTTGCTGTACAGAGTCCCCAGTATTACATTGTGCCGACATTAAAGAAGGGTAGGTTAGAGCTGGACATTCAGAAACAGGGCCAGATTCTCAGCTGATGTAAATCAGTATAATTCCATTGACTTCAGTGAAGCTACACCGATTTACATCAAGTTAGGATCAAGTCCAGAATCTCTTATTATGCAGGAAAAGTTTGTATTCACATTAAACCCAGTCTTCTGACGTGCTGAACAGTTTTGTGATGTGCTAAGCACCCTCAGCTCCCATTAAAGTCAACAGGAATTGGGAGTGCTCAGCATCTCACTCCTGGTGGGTTGACTGACCCTGAATAAAAATGCCAGCAGGGTACATAACATGATACTTTCTGTTGGTCCAACAAAGAACGTTGGCGTAGGTCCCATTTAGCCTTGAAAGCCCAGGTATGTTACAGCTTGGCAGACCAGGAGTTTTAGAAGGACTGATTGCAAAGGAGATACCTGGGACGACTCTTCTTGCTAACCTAGGTGACGTTATTGTTTTGCCTCCTGCTTTATAGGAAACACAGAGAATTCCCTGGACCATGAACGGTGGGAGCACATGCTGCTTCAGGTACAGGATGACTTTCAGCTGTATTGTCACAGCCCTCCCTCCACCCTCCAAATGTATCAGCTGGGGAAAGAATAATGATAAATTATTCATTATAAGCAGAGCTGGTCAAACCATTTCATTTGCAACTTTTGTTCAGTGAAAAATGGCCTTTTTTATTTTCATGGGACATTTTCAAATTTTTCAGTTTTTTTTTTTTTTTTTTTTTACACAAAACAAAGCAACCCCAACCCAAATAGAAAATGTTTAGTTTTTTGAAACTGAAGTTGATTTGGGTTTTTTTTTTCCCAGTTGCTTTCCTGTTTGTCTCCTCCCCCCTCCAGCTTTTTCAGTCACAAAGTGGAAGAGGGGAAAACAGGCATGGGGACAAGGGATAAAGGGAAGGAAAGAGGGAAAACAAAGAATTGAATAATGGTCATTTTTGATTTTGAAAAGCAAAATATTTTTTGTTTTTTCACTTTTCATTTGTGTGTTGAAAAATCAAGGAAACAAAAAAATCCCACTTGTTTTGTGAAATGGACTTACTATTGTTCAACCAGCTCTAGTTATAAATAACTCTGTATTACCACTGGGAACAACACAAAACTTAACCAGAAAACCAGCATGCTAATGGTGCTAATGCATCACTGGGGGACATTTAAAGGATTCTTTTTTTCTATTTGCCACTCAAAAGAAAATTTGCTCTGAGAAACCCAAAAAGGAAAAGAGACAAGAGAAGGTTTGGTGACCGTATCTCATGGAGAAGCCTTTCTGGTCAGAAAGAGCTCTTTACAGCCTCGTGTAAATCCAGACAAGGAACATTTTTATGGCGAGCGCTGAAAATGAAAGGAAAGGACCTAGTGACAAATAAGCCCCAGAAGGTTTGGAGTTCCATTTGGGGTTGGATTACACTCTAGAATTTCCCATTCCAGATCCAGCCTCATTTGAAATTCTTTGGGCTAAAAAATCAAAGAAGATTAGGTTCTCTTGTGAGGTTTCTGATATTTTCTGGCTGCTGTTCAAAATTCGGGCCTGAAACAGCAAAGTGCTGAGAGTTACTAACCTCTTGCTGACTTCAATGGGAGTTGAGGGTGTGACCCCAGGTCCTTTGGGTACCCAGTGGCAGAGGCCACAGGAGTGCATAGGATTACCAGGATTCCCTGGATCTGATCTCCATATAATCAAAAACAACAAGGAGTCCGGTGGCACCTTAAAGACTAACAGATTTATTTGGGCATAAGCTTTCGTGAGTAAAAACCTCACTTCTTCGGATGCATAGAGTGAAAGTTACAGATGCAGGCATTATATACTGACACATGGAGAGCAGGGAGTTACTTCGCAAGTGGAGAACCAGTGTTGACAGGGCCAATTCAATCAGGGTGGATGTGATCCACTCCCAATAATAGATGAGGAGGTGTCAATTCCAGGAGAGGAAAAGCTGCTTCTGTAATGAGCCAGCCACTCCCAGTCCCTATTCAAGCCCAGATTAATGGTGTTAAATTTGCAAATGAATTTTAGTTCTGCTGTTTCTCTTTGAAGTCTGTTTCTGAAGTTTTTTTGTTCAATGATAGTGACTTTTTAATCTGTAATAGAATGACCAGGGAGATTGAAGTGTTCACTTACTGGCTTATGTATGTTACCATTCCTGATGTCCGATTTGTGTCCATTTATTCTTTTGCGGAGGGACTGTCCGGTTTGGCCAATGTACATGGCAGAGGGGCATTGCTGGCACATGATGGCATATATAACATTAGTGGATGTGCAGGTGAATGAGCCCTTGATGGTGTGGCTGATGTGGTTGGGTCCTCTGATGCTGTTGCCAGAGTAGATATGGGGACAGAGTAGGCAACGAGGTTTGCTACAGGGATAGGTTCCTGGGTTGGTGTTTCTGTGGTGTGGTGTGTAGTTGCTGGTGAGTATTTGCTTCAGGTTGGGGGGCTGTCTGTAAGCGAGGACTGGCCTGCCTCCCAAGGTCTGTGAGAGTGAGGGATCATTTTCCAGGATAGGTTGTAGATCGTGGATAATGCGCTGGAGAGGTTTTAGCTGGGAGCTGTATGTGATGGCCAGTGGTGTTCTGTTATTGTCCGTGTTGGGCCTGTCCTGTAGTAGGTGATTTCTGGGTACCCGTCTTGCTCTGTCAATCTGTTTCCTCACTTCCCCAGGTGGGTATTGTAGTTTTACGAATGCTTGATAAAGATCTTGTAGGTGTTTGTCTCTGTCTGAGGGGTTGGAGCAAATTCGGTTGTATCTGAGGGCTTGGCTGTAGACAATGGATCGTGTGATGTGTCTTGGATGGAAGCTGGAGGCATGTAGGTACGTATAGCGGTCAGTAGGTTTCCGGTATAGGGTGGTGTTTATGTGACCATCGCTTATTTGCACTGTAAATAAGTCCCTCCGCAAAAGAATAAATGGACACAAATCGGACATCAGGAATGGTAACATACATAAGCCAGTAAGTGAACACTTCAATCTCCCTGGTCATTCTATTACAGATTAAAAAGTCACTATCATTGAACAAAAAAACTTCAGAAACAGACTTCAAAGAGAAACAGCAGAACTAAAATTCATTTGCAAATTCAACACCATTAATCTGGGCTTGAATAGGGACTGGGAGTGGCTGGCTCATTACAGAAGCAGCTTTTCCTCTCCTGGAATTGACACCTCCTCATCTATTATTGGGAGTGGATCACATCCACCCTGATTGAATTGGCCCTGTCAACACTGGTTCTCCACTTGCGAAGTAACTCCCTGCTCTCCATGTGTCAGTATATAATGCCTGCATCTGTAACTTTCACTCTATGCATCCGAAGAAGTGAGGTTTTTACTCACGAAAGCTTATGCCCAAATAAATCTGTTAGTCTTTAAGGTGCCACCGGACTCCTTGTTGTTTTTGTAGATACAGACTAACATGGCTACCCCCTGATACTTGACACCATATAATCAAAGGGTGTCATGTAAAGCCTTTACTGGATACCTGTGCCACACGGATCATCATAATCATTGCACAGTGACTGGATGGATAATATATAAGGCGTTATGGTTGTATACTGAAAGTTATGCTTTTAAGGTCTGTGAGTTGGGGCTGGTCACCAGAAAGTGATCAATAAGTTTCTTTCAGGCAGGAGATGCTTATCTGCCTGAATGGCTGTATGTAGATGAGTAATTCTTCACAGTGGATGCTAATCAATAGAGCAACATTCTAATCAAGTGATTGCAAAGTCTCCAGAGGAGATTCGATACAAGAAAAACAAACAAACAATAGGGGGTACTCTGTTTACAAGTGAAGACAATGGATGCTTGGAACTATATCTAGAGGTCCAGAGGTATCCTGTACCAGGTATCCTTCACCTATTGGACGAACTGCCAGCTGGCTTGTCTTATGAATGGAGGATCACATTTGGTTTGGGTGTTTCATGCTGGGAGAGAGATTTGGGGGAGCTATCCTTTGTGAGACAGGGGAATGGTTGGTTATCTAAGTTTAAGCTCTAGAAGTATGTTATGATTTTATTTTTATGTAACCATTTGTTTACATTAATTTTACTTGCTGCTTCTCAAATCTCTGATCTTTGTGAATTAAACTCTACTTGTTTTCACTATAAACGTATCTAAGTGAAGTATAGTTGTTTTCACTCTAAACGTATCTAAGTGTGTTAAATGGAGCGGTGATGCTGAGGTGACACCGATGACGTGGTGTGTAGCAAACCTATGAATTCTGTGAGTGTCCAATGGAACAGGGGCTGGACATTCTGGGGCTGCACAGAGGGCTCGGCGGTTGGAGTGTACCAATTGCTTATCTGTAGAAGGACAGTGGAGCTGGATGGGGTGAGAAGGGTGTGCTTGTGTTTCCTGTGGCTGGCAGAGTCAGGAGCTGACACCTGGCAGGCACAGAGAAGGCTTCCTCCTGCTAAGGGCAGGTGGTAGTGAGGTACCTCACAATCCTGGGGACCCTCGGGAGGTGGCATAAAGGGTCCATAACACTTCAGAGAAGGTTCCTGGTCCTTCATAGTCCAGGGCCCTTTGTTCAAAATTTATTAGACCTATTCTCCATCCACTATAAAATCACTCCTCAATGGTCAGATTTCTTGGCTCCATCTCATTCTCCAATTCACTGTCTATCTGGGTTTGGAGACTGAGAGGAATCATCAGGCAAAGGTTAAAGAACAACAGGCAGAGGAAGTCTGGGTTGTTGATGTTTATAGTTCTCAATAGGGAAATAATCTTCCCATGACACCTGAATATTGGAAAGTTTACAACAGAGAACAAGGAAGAAAAAAAACACCAAACAAACAAACAAACCCCACAACAACCCCCAAATTCTTGCAATTAACCATCTGCTTTAACTCTTGTTTTACACTCAGTTCCTAAGAACATCTCTGGAGATGATAGGCGACAGTGCCTGGAGCAGCCAGATAAGCCTTGAGTTGAGCCAGCAGATGGCCGGCTATGCCAGCCCCTCCAAAGAGAAGGTTTGTTATCTGTTAAGGCTTAGTTTCTAGTTAATTTCCCTTGAAATTCTGATTGGGGGGCAGCATAAGGCTTCTCTCAAGGCTTCATTACTTTATATTTTATTCTGCATATAAAATTTGTTTTTACTTGTTCCCTGCTCTCTTGCCCCCCGCCCGCCCTTCCAATATTTGCTTGGACAGGCTGCTTGTCTGTACTGCATTGTTGGTTCTCTGGCTGGGCTAGATGATGGGATGTTTCTGCAGTATGGATGCTTGGACTTGGCTATCTTGTTCCTTCCTGAGTGTTGCTGAGCTGGGTCTGTACTGACAGGCACGTTGTGTTACTGATATCTCAGGGCTGGTCTCTTTCTTTCAGAGTTTCCTGTATAAGGCGCTAGGAACGTCCTTAGCAGTTTGTCAGGACCTGGTCCATGTTAAAACACAGATTAATACATTTCTGACGACAACAAATTATATGGAAGACCCTGAGAGAGAGGTGAGGACTCTGTCCCTCTCCCCACTTTACCAAGTAATCCCTGAATGCTCCCTGTGAGGCTCAGCTCTGAGTTGGCCTGGGACAGATGCCATTTTGCTTCATATCCTCTTCATTGCTATTTCACTCAGCCCCCGCTGCCCATGTGTCTCAGGCCTGATTGGCACTTTACACCACTTCAGGTGAAAGGAATGGACTCGTGGGGTCTATCAGGCACCTGGTTAGATCCTAACCAGTATTTTTCTTGGGTGACAGGGAGTCATTTCCATCCTCGCATTGTCTGCTGAGAGCCACTTGGACCTCACCTTGAACGCACTTCAGGAGTTTGGGGCTGCAATGAGCAAGGTTAAGATTTCTGGGTTCATCGGCCGCCTGAAGGTAAAGGAGCCAGGGGCTTCTCTCAAACTTTCTCTCCCTCTAAAGCAGGGGCAGCAACCCTGCGGTAGTGTCTGCTCTGGTCAGCTAGCATTGTCCCCCAATGTATGCGTTCTGCATGATGCCTGCAGTTAAGCAGAGAGGAGCACAATCTGGAGCTGGGGTTCTCTCAAATGATTTTTATCGTCTGATGTCTTTTCCATGCAAGCAACTGATGTAGTTCCCACACATTGTGCATGGGAGGGGCGCTCAAGCCATGAGACATCAGATGATAAAAATCACTTGAGAGAACTCCAGCTCCAGATTGTGCTCCTCTCTGCTTAACTGCAGGCAGTCTGTTGTAAAATGATGGCAGATACACTGGAAGGTAGGGATAGGATACAGAGGGACCTAGACAAATTAGAGGATTGGGCCAAAAGAAACCTGATGAGGTTCAACAAGGAGCAGAGTCCTGCACTTAGGACGGAAAAATCCCATTCACTGTTACAGACTAGGGACCGAATGGCTAGGAAGCAGTTCTGCAGAAAAGGACCTAGGGGTTACAGTGGATGAGAAGCTGGATATGAGTCAACAATGTGCCCTTGTTGCCAAGAAGGCTAATGGCATTTTGGGCTGTATAAGTAGGGGCATTTCCAGCAGATCGAGGGACGTGATCGTTCCCCTCTATTGGACATTGGTGAGGCCTCATCTGGAGTACTGTGTCCAGTTTTGGGCCCCACATTACAAGAAGGATGTGAAAAATTGGAAAGAGTCCAGCGGAGGGCAACAAAAATGATTAGGGGGCTGGAGCACAAGACTTATGAGGAGAGGCTGAGAGAACGGATTGTTTAGTCTGCAGAAGAGAAGAATGAGGGGGGATTTGATAGCTGCTTTCAACTACCTGAAAGGGGGTTCCAAAGAGGATGGATCTAGACTGTTCTTAGTGGTACCTGATGACAGAACAAGGAGTAATGGTCTCAAGTTGCAGTGGGGGAGGTTTAGGTTGGATATTAGGAGGGTGGTGAAGCATTGGAATGGGTTCCCTACGGAGGTGGTGGAATCTCCTTCCTTAGCGGTTTTTAAGGTCAGGCTTGACAAAGCCCTGGCTGGGTTGATTTAGTTGGGAATTGGTCCTGCTTTGAGCAGGGGGTTGGACTAGATGACGTCCTGAGGTCCCTTCCAACCCTGATATTCTATGATTCTAAAACTAGGCAAATATCTAGATGAGTTGATATACCCCTGGAAGACCTCTGCAGACCCTCAGGGGTACACAAGTACCCCTGGTTGAAAACCACTGATCTAAAGGATAGAGCAAGAGACTAGGCCTCTGGGCTTCCATTGCTGGCTCTGCATTTACTCACTGTGCAGCCTTAGGCAAGACATTTAGCGCCTGATCTTGTACCCACCAGTGTCAACGACTAAGCTCCCGTGTACTTCACTGCTGTAGGTTCAGCATTTTAGGCTCTCTGTGTCAGAGTGACCCGTGGGAATGATGGAGATACTAATAACTCCCTACCTCACTCAGTTATTATATTGCTTAAATACTGTTTGCAAGTGGTTTGAGATCTTTGGCTGAAAAGAGCTTTGCAAGTGCAAACTGCCATTGCTGCTGTGAGCAATTCCTCGGTCAGCAGCAGATCAGAATTCCAAGGCAAAACGAATCACAAGAACTTGTCTCTAGTGACGTTTCCGATTGTCTAGGACTACCACCGTGGAAAAAGAGGCAAGACTCGCAGCACCCTGATGCTGACATACAGCAACGTGGCTGTTCATGCTCCAAAAGACCAGCTTCTCTCCCGAGTAGAGGCAGACATCACAGGGAACATCCTTCACCATTACAGAGCCAGTTGTCAGGTAAGAGCTTTTGTGTGATAAGTGTTAGGGGCATTACCCTGAAGTTATGACATTGCCTCTGAGTTTATAGAGAGAGGGCTTGTATTTTCTAAAACTCTCCTTTGAGCAATAATTTGTCACATAACTCAAATTTAAAACTGTAATGGACGGAACGTGAGCTGTCACATGTTGTATCATTTTTGTTGCTCTTTGTATTTTCTCTAGTTTCTCTATATTCTTCTGAAATTCTGTAGACCACAGCTACACAGTAATTCAGATGCAGTCAGACTCAGGCTATTCAGAATAAGACTCTAACTCCCCTAATATGTATGTGTATCTAGCGCTATCTTTCGCTACCCAAGAGAGACTAGTGCTAGCTTGTATTTAGTTGATTTGCTGTCACTCTGTTTCTTGGACACACTACTTCCCTTACCTCTTATCTGTCTTCTTGTTTGTCTGTGTGCTCCTTATTTCTGTTCCCTAGGTGTCTGACTGCTGGCACTGACTCTCATCTCCGTGCAACCTCTCCACGTCGCTTTGCCATTCAATTCTGCCCTGTCTGACTGAGACTCTCATTTAGGCATTGTCAAAAACAGTTGAACCAAACTGATATCTTCTAGTAGTTCACAAATGCAAATATTATGTAGTGTGGCCCCTGATATTGACCGCTGCAAAACACCCCCTCTGGATACATTTCCTGCGTTTTGGAAGATTTAACAATAGTGATTTCTCTCTGCTCCATATTCACCAGCCAGGACATTTTGAGGATGTGTGTTATGTTGGACATACATTGCTAATAGCTGTTTTGCATTTCGTTTTTCAGGTGCTGGGCATCACTGTTACGAACAAGGTAAATTCTAAATAATCTGCTCTCAGGTCTTGCATTTTCTATACACAAGTTGCTTGTTTAAATTGCACAGAGCTTGATTTCCTTGCTACATCAAGCAGGAGTCCTGGCTGCTCTGGTGTAAGTGGACCTGGATTTATTTGATGAACCTGGGTTTTCTTTTCTTCTGAGGTGGGTGCAGAGCCGGGGTCCTCTGCCTTCTGGGGTCTGCGGACACCTCTCTCCTCTCCTGAGGCTAGATTTAATTCCTGATCTTTATCTTCTGGACTCTGGTTCTTCTCTCAGTTTCTCATCCACATCCTCTTGTTTCTCCTTCTGGATTATGTAGGACATGTACCTAAAATTAACCCTCATCCAGAATGTCACGGAGATTAGCTGTGCCATCTTGGAGACCAGAGACTCCCAGGAGTTCGAATTCTCTTACAAACAGGAGCTCCTTGGCTACATTCTGGTGAGTGATTAGGAGCTTTGAGGACTGAAGTACAAAGGAGTTTGTTGTAATGCAATAAGACTGGTTTTCCAGGGAGATGTTATTTTATCCATTGGCTGTGACTGTACTACTGCAGTCTCATGAGCTACCTGCATGGCACCCCGAATGCTGGGTCCACTCTGAGCTCGGCAGAGACACTGACATATTGTGGGCTGTAACTGGAAGGAATGGCTTGTGTCTGGTGAGTTATCTTTTTGTCCTCCGTATAGCCTGCAGATGGCCCTACGGTCCATTTCAGAGGCAGAGAGCCTGCTGAGAACGGTGTCTGTTTATTACAGGTCTGGCATATAGCCCTATTTCAGGGTGTGAGAGGAAGACCTCTCTGCCTTTCAAATCCATTTCCCATTTTTTATGTCCCTATTAATGCATTTCAGGACTTCGTTAAAAAGGAACCACTGGATTCCCTGGCATCTCCAGTTCGCTACAAGGCAATTCTTGCCATTGGACATCTGAGGTAGGCTATTTTCTGCCATATTTCCTGGCACTGTGATGACTTCTTATTTGTTAATTCATGAGTGTCAGGTTGGGAGCAGTCTGATGCCTGCAGGGTTTGGCTCACATGCTGCTCACCAGCAGAACTTTCATTCTTGAGGGTTCGAATGTGTCCATTTAGAGGTTTGTGCTTGAAAGACACAAGACTGGAGGTTGTGGGGCATGCAGTACAATGGAGGAGAGTTCAGATGGGGAGGGAGGTGTCTGGCTAGCTGGCAGGGGGAAGGAAGCTTGTGGGTTTCTCTAAAAAGGGGACTTGAAGCTTTAGCTTTACTTCTAGATGAGCCAATACTTAATAGAGGTGCAAAGAGGTGCTCAGCTGCAAAGTGAAGGGTTGTTTGCATTTGGGGTTCTAGACTGGGGCACTCTCTAGCCATTGGACCCACTCTTTTACTTGGAGGTGGTACTGAGTCTATTGCATGACTTTTCTCTCTTTCTTCTGCCAGCAAACTCAAACCATCTTTGACCTTGGAGGAAAACCGTGAGCTCCTTGATGAGTGTTTCAAAAGTTTATTTCCCCTTCCTCCCTTGGAGAAGATGAAAGAGGAAGGCGAGACAGCCAAGGATGCTCTGCATATACAGGTACGTGACAACAATTCTCCTCTGGCACCATCCACTGTATTTCTGCCCAGCAGGCACTGGGTGATGGCAGTCACACATGGCCTCCCTGGCAAGGTTATGGTTAGCTTTCCCCGGCCCACACACACAAATGATCTGTGCTGAGCCTCACTCCTTCTCTTCTGGTTTCAGTCACTGTACGTGAGGTCCTTGGAAGCTCTTGGCAAGCTAATGAAGACTTTGCTGGAGGAAGAACCAACCGCAGACTGGTTCCAGGAAATGTTTGAAGTGAGTAGACCATTGAACAGCGGTGGAGATTGTTTCTTGTGTTACAGCAGGGAAGAGTCAGAGATTTAGGGGGTCAAGCTTCAGTTGTGGAGGAATTTTCCACAACGGAGTGAATTTTAGGGAGAAAGCACTACATTCTTCCTTGTGATAAGTGGGCATGTGCCCCATTGAAATCCATGGAAGCTATGCCATTTTATGCCAGGGCTGGATTGGGATCGAGTTCTTACAATGGAGTTGACACTACTTGGACCGGCAAGAAAATCACCACTGCAGTAGCCAGATCCAAGAGAACCAGTTGAAACTGATCACTTCTTCTAAGAGGAATTCATTAATATTGAGTTAAGCCCTATGTATGGAAACTCATTCAGAGGAGACTTCCTGTTCCTCAGACATGAACAGAATATCTTGAAGAGCTGAAGGGTAGGGAGTTTGATGCACCTTCAGTATAAAAATGAAGTTATAAAAGGCGGGGGGGACTTCTCTGCTCTTATTCAAATTATAAAGAAATGCTCCTCTCTGTCATTTTGCCACTCGACGTGGGAGAAGTTGCCCAGGAAACAGACCACAGCAGCAGACATCAAACAGCATGCAATGTGCTAGACAGCTCCCATCAGACAGTCTACAGCAGACATCACATACACGGGCCCAGATTCATCTCTCATGTAACTCCTTTGGCTTCAATCACCAGAGGTGAATCTGGTCCCTGGGACTTGTATATCTAAGGGGCTCTTCCATTAGACATGTAATTCCTTTGCTACACCGAGGTCAGATGCTTTGGAGAGGGATTTTAGTGACAATTAAAGAGATGTTTAAGAGGAACTTTTGGGAGGGATTTTCTGGTACTAACTCTGTCCATTCCCCTGCTCTACCAACAGCTACTAAGGACATGGTTCAGTTCAGGGAAGGAGTGGGAGAGAGAAAGGGTCTTGCAGGCCAGCACCCAGCTGCTGACTGCCTATCAAGAGGCAGTTAATAGCACAGTGAGTATAGCCTCTTACTCTTCCTTGAGCTGACTTCCCTGCTTATATCAGATCTGACACTCAACGCAAATGCATGAAAAACTCTTCCAGGGCAGCAACTGGGTTCTCAAGGTGACTAAGATCCCCCTGCTTCCAGAAGAGAGGTTTACACAACAATGCTGTGACCACACTCCGGGCAGACTGCAAGAAGTAGAGGGCAGACAATCCCCCAAACTGATGGCTTATTCTATAATTAGATTCACCAAGTCAACAACAGAAGAGCTCCCACCCTAGTTAACAAGATGCCAAACGCAGTCCCCTTTTGGCAGTCCAGACCTTGGCTCCCATCTAAACATCCATGTCTTGGAAGAACGGGGAGGGATAGCTCAGTGGTTTGAGCAGTAGCCAGCTAAACCCAGCGTTGTGAGTTCAATCCTTAAGGAGGCCATTTAGGGAAGTGGGGTGAAAATCTCTCTGGGGATTGGTCCTGCTTTGAGCATGGGGTTAGACTAGATGATCTCCTCAGGTCCCTTCCAACCCTGATATTCTATGTCTAATATAGTGAGGGGTTACTGAAAACTTGGCTCACCATATGTGATCATAAAGGACCGGATGCTTATCCCCAGGTCAATATGAATCTCAGGTCTTTCCTAAATATCATGCTGTCAGCCAGTCCTTAATAACTAAATCTAAGATTTATTGTTAAAAGAAAGAAGAGAGTTACAAATGGTTAAATGATCAATATCCATACAAGTGACTTTCAATGTTCATAGTTCAAGATCACAACAGTGATGGAATAAACTGCTGGTTTGTAAAAGTCTCTCTGGAATCATCCCAACAGATCAGAATCCAAAGGCAGCTTAGATGTAAAGTCTGTTAGTTTTTCCATGCACTTTCCAGGTTATTCCAAATGATTATTTGGAAAATCTCTGTCCTATGGCTTACACTTTCCCTGTTCAAAGTTTAAGCAGACTAGAGATGATAGGCTCAGGCCCGAGCCTTCTCTTTTATAGCTATTCTAGCAGCCTGACAAGCCTACCTCACAGAAATTGTCACAGAAGGACCTTCCCCCAATGCAGATCACCTGTTGTACTTTGCTTTGAAGATAATCTTCTATTATCATTCTATTAACACAGTAAACTAGTTACATTCCTTCGCATAAGGTAATTAGCCGTTCTTCCATTATAACACAGATAGTTAAGGTGAAGATAATGTAGAAATGATTGATTTCCTGGAGTGTCTTACATCTTTGATTTTAAGGTTAACTGAACACCTTGCATACATAATTAAGGCAATTAAGACATGAAAGGGAATTAGCATCTACAAGCTAATTTGGTTATATTGTGAAACTTCTAACCGGGTATAGATAAACACAGACAAATACACTTAGCCTCTATTGTTCATTTTTGAATGAGTTGATGATTGCTAGACTAATACATCTCTTAGAAATTCACATGCAAGTGAACTGTCTTGATACAGTAGAAGCGCCTCTTGTTAAGTTATTATGGGTCATACACAGGTTGACTGGTCTGCCAGTGTCACAAATGCATTCTTGGTTCTTATGCTCCCAGGATGCTAAAGCTGAATTTCTATTTAATCAGCTAAGAACATAAATCATAAGAGTTGCTATCCTGGATCCCCCAGAAGAATGGTTCATCTAGCCCAGTATCCTGTCTTCTGACAGTGGTGGGTGCCAAATGCTTAAGAGGAAATGAACAGAACAAGGCAATTGTCAAGTGAACCATCCCCTGTTGGACAGTCCCAGCCCCAGCTTCTGGCAGTCAGAGGTTTAGAGACACCCAGATCATGGGGTTGCATCCCTGACCATGTTAGCTAATAGCCATTGATGGACCTATCCTCCGTGAACTCATCTAATTCTTTTTTGAACCCAGTTATACTTTTGGCCTTCACAACATCTCCCTGGCAAAGAGTTCCACAGGTTGACTGCATTGTGTGAAGAAATACTTCCTTTTGTTTGTTTTAAACCTGCTGCCTATTAATTTCATTGAGTGACCCCTTGTTCCTGTGTTATGTGAAGGGCTAAATAACACTTCCTTATTGACTTTCTCTACACCAGTCATGATTTTATAGTTCTCTATCATATTCCCTCTTAGTCGTCTCTTTTCCAAGCTGAAAAGTCCCTGTCTTTTTAATCTCTCCTTGTACGAGAAGTTGTCCCATTGTAGGACTCATGAATGAAATTGTTTTTAATTGTTTACTGTATTAATGTAACTTCATAAATAAAGTTTTATGAATGAAACAATATTCATTCATAAAACCGGTTACCCCAATAACTGGCTAATTAACAGTTAAGATGCTTGTTAAGAGCCATAGCTGTTCAGTCAGCTGCCTTTGTAAGTTTCACTATCAATCCAATTCCTGCTTAAATCACTGAGACTTGCTCTGTTTCAGTATTGTAATTTCTGTTCACAATTTATTACACTTGCCTACAGTGTAACTTCTGTTCACTGTTTGCCATCCATTATACTTGTCTATATTGTAACTTCTGTTCACTGTTTGCCATATTGTAATTCAAACCCCATTTTAAAACGCTTACTCCATTTTGTAAGGGCTTGCTGCAACCTTCATTTTTGCAAACCCTGCTGTAATCTTATTAGTTTAGTTTAGATGTGTGAATGAGGTATGTATGGATGATGGAATCAACCTCCAGCCCCGGCCTGTCCTGATTAAATAGAGTTCAAACACCAACGGCTGAAGATGCAGACAAGAGCCCTAACAAAGTAAGAAGAATCCACCCTAAAAAGAAAAGGTACAATAGAAGGAAGATCAAAGCCCGGTCCCAGGCTGAAAGTCATGTCTGCAATTGACGGGTGATCAATCACCAAACCCAGAGGCAGCGTGACACAGCAAGACCTATAGACTCTGGATTCAAACTAAAGCCTACAAAAAGGATGGGTGAGATGGAAAACTTTGGAGGAGGGTAACATTCTGCTGCCAACATGGAAGGGCATGGGTGCATGCCCAACAGAGACCCAGCTCGTCCTTGTGCCCGGCTTTCCTGGCCAGTTAGCCACCAGAAGCTACGAACCCAAGCTGCAAACTCAAGCCACAGACTCAAGCAGGACTGGTAACTATGCAGCAGCTGCAGAACATCTGATGGATGTGTGTGTGAATGTGTGTGTATAGGTATTAGGTATAATGTGTGTGTATAAGGATTAAGATATTAGTTACTGGTCATAAATCAAATTGTTATCATAATAAATGTGGCATCTTTATCTTGTCCCCTTTAATAAGATCCTGCTAGTTTTTATTGGTATAACACCATACGCCTAATAATTTTTGTTGCTCTTCTCTGTATTTCTTCCAAATCTAACATATCTTTTTTGAGATGAGATGACCAAAACTGCACGCAGTATTCAAGGTGTGGGGGTACTGTAGATTTATATAGTGGCATAATGATATTTACTGTCTTATTATCGATCTCTTTCCTAATGGTTCCTAACATGTTGTTATGGTTTTTGACTGCATGTTGAGCAGATGCTTTCAGAGAACTGTACACAATGATTCTGAGGTCTCTTTCTTGAGTGATAACAGCTAATTTAGACCCCATCCGTTTGTATGTACAATTGGGATTATGTTTTCCAATGTGCATTACCCAGTTCAGTACAGGAATCAGAGGCACAATGTTATCAGATGTGCCTGTCACTTTGGGTAGGCTCATTGATTAGGGTTACTCTTCTGGGGGAGGGGGAGTTTTCTGTAATTCTGTTAATATGCTGCTTATGTCACTTGTGTGTTCATATGGAGCTCTACTCCTTCTTTCTACAAGTCCCCTCCCAATGGAGCTCCCAATGGAGCTATCCTGCAGGACCTAGGTTCCCCAGGACTAATAACTAGAACTAGATGAAGATGCGCACACACACTAGCAGAGCAAGTCAATCAGCATTCCCCAGCTGATCCCCTCATATGTCCCTGTATTCAGTGTGCTGGGTTAAGCAGCACTTTCAAGCTGGTACCCTTATGTGCCCCTGGTCTCAATAGGCTGGGTTGAACAGCACTTTCAGCTGCCCCTCCCTTATGTGCCCCAAGTTTAACACATCCCTATCACACTTTCACATTACAATTGTACTGGGAGTAACACACTTGATGAGCAAACCCCACCGTATTTTGGGCACTACAGGGATCTTTAGCTTAGGTGCAAGAAGCGTTGCTGCAGAGTAAATGGGGGAAGCTAAAAACACAAAAGAGTAAAATAGAGAGAGAGAGAGAGAGAAGTAACCAGCTGAACCATAAAAGTTATTTATTGAATAATAGTGATAACTACACAAGGAGGGCTAAACAAACATAACAGTTACATTTTAAAGGTTAATACCTGAGGTAGAAAAGAAAACAGAGAGAGAGAGGGATCTCCCCCACTCCATGAGGCTTGAACTGGTCGGGGTTCCCAGGTGATGGTGGTAGCTCAGGGTCCTGAGTGCTGGAGACAGGCAGAGCCCCCAGCACAATCAGTCAGGAGATGGAATCCCAATGGAACTGATGCAGAGTTTGGGTCTATACATCAGAACCCTTACTTGGACATAGGTCGGGGGGTTTGTAGAGAAAATACAATGGCTCAAGGGAGAACACTAGATTTGTTTATGGGTAAACTGATGGCTCAAGAATTTTCTTTAGGCTAGGCCAGGGGTAGGGAACCTATGGCACACGTGCCAAAGGCGGCACGCGAGCTGATTTTCAATGGCACTCACACTGCCCGGGTCCTGGCCACCGGTCCGGGGGGGCTCTACATTTTAATTTAATTATAAATGAAGCTTCTTAAACATTTTAAAAACCTTATTTACTTTACATACAACAATAGTTTAGTTATATGTTATAGACTTATAGAAAGAGACCTTCTAAAAACGTTAAAATGTATTACTGGCACGTGAAACCTTAAATGAGAGTGAATAAATGAAGACTCGGCACACCACTTCTGAAAGGTTGCCGACCCCTGGGCTAGACAATAGGAGCTGATTACTCTTGGCTATGGGTGTTGTTTTCTTACAGGGAGCTCACAAGGCAACTAGGCTGCTACAGTATTTTGGGATATCAATCAAAGGTTTATTACTAGAATTGCTCTGATAATTGCTGAGCTGGGTGTGTGCAGGTGTAAGTTCATTAGCATCTGGAGCAGGGATTCCCATGATGCAGTGCGTCCCTGCTTTTCTGGTCCCAGAGTTCAGTGCGGTTCCCCGTTCCTCATTCTTTATGCAAATCCCTATCCCATCTTTCATGCAGATGAGGCTAGGGGAGTTGTCTCTGTTCTACATTCTGTATGCAAAAATGGAGACGTCTTAATCTTGTCACCCTTGTCAGGGGGGGTCTAGGTGTGTCTCCCCATGCCCTTCATTGTTCTCTGCAAGCCTTTTCTCCGATCGGTTTTGGTTCAAACAGAGACGGGGTGAGGGGTGTCCTTCATGAGTCACACAGGCTAGATACAGCGCCCTGGTTCCCCAAAAACACAGAGCTGACTGGTATCAACAATAAGGATGGCAAGTGAAGTCTAGTACAGCTGGAGAACGTTCATTCTTCATTCTTTTGTAATTAGACTCAGGAAACTTTTAATCGGTTTGGATCTCTGATTGGACTAATAGCACCATACAGCTGTGATTCACTGGCCACGTCCCGTCAGTGGGCGGTTGACTGTATCAGCTGCCTTCTCTGTATACAAGGTGAGGAGACCATTACCAGGTATAAGTAATTCTTCACCATTAGCAGGTATAAGTAACTCTTCACCTTCTTTCACTGTTGTAATGTCCATTTTTCTGCCTGTCTAGTTCTTTCTGTCCTGTCTGTTAGCACTTAGATAACAGAATGGTGGGCATCTTGTAAATACCTGATTAGAAGAGAAGATTATGATGTGTAAAGAGCCTAGCACACTTTTGGGAACTGTACAAATAATAAATGGTCTGCATACAGGTAGATAACTGCTAAATTCCTTAGGGCTTGTCTACACAGGGACACTAAGGAAAGTTAATCCAAATGAACTAAAGGTGTAAATTTAAAGTGGCATTAAACACATGTGTGGATGCTCTGATTCTGAATTAAAATGGCCCTTATTAATTTTAGTGAATTACATGAATTAAACTAACCTGAAATAAGGCCCCTTTAATTCTAAATAAGTGTGTCCCCATAGGTGTTTAATGAAGTTTAACTAATGCATTTTGAAAATTAATTTGGATTAGCTTTCTTGACTATCTCCATGTAGACAAGCCCTTGGTACTAAACATTTTCATTCTCTTTACCCTGCCACTGGCTGTATTGGAGGGGTTTCCTGGAATAATTCTTTAAACAAAAAGTTCTTCCAGCAGCCCTCTGTCATGAGCATTCAAAGCTACTGGAGTAAGTGTAGGCCATTTTCCCCTCTGTGAGAGAGTAGGATATTCTTTTCACCTGATGGTTAGATGTAGGGTTAGGGTGACCAAACAGCAAATGTGAAAACTCGGGACAGGGGGTGGGGGGTAATAGGAGTCTATATAAGAAAAAGACCCCCCCAAATCGGGACTATCCCTATAAAATCGGGACATCTGGTCATCTTATTTCCAATTATTATTAATCAGTCCTAAAAAACAGTGTTGGTGATTCAGAAACAGAAGAAGGGACTCCAATCTTTGCATGTACAAGATAGAAATCCCAGCATTGTTTAGAAGTGACTGATGAGCCTGGGTTTCCTGCCGAAGTTTTTGTCCAGACCCATCTCTTTTACAATGAGAGTTTGGTGGAGGGATTCACCTCTACATTGGAACCTGAGATCTATCTGCATGACTTGTACTTGAATATGAGATTAGATTTAAATACTAAGAGCAGAGAGGCTACTGAAACCAGACACACCCAGAAAGCTGCTCCAAGCTGAATACAGTGCTTGTTCAATCCTGTATCATTCACAATAAATTTAGGGTGTAATCCCGACTCCATTACAGTCAACAGGAGTTTTGCCATTGACTTTGATGGGGCCAAGATTTTACACTATGCTGATAACAGCATAGCACATGGATCCTTCTGTATGAATATCCATGCAATAGAGGTTCAGTTTCATTAATCGTTACAGTACTTTTTCTCCTTTTCTCCACTCCAGGCCAGTCCATGAACCTGGGGTCAGCGGCGGAGGAGGAGCTGAAATGTCTTCGTGAAGCACTAACAGCTCCAGACCCTGAGGCTCTGTTTCAGGCATCTTCCAAAATGGCCAGGGTAACTGACTCAAAAAGCTTGTGCGGATGTTCTAGTGACGGGGCACTATTCATTTTACATTTAAGCTTTTATGATGCCTTTCCGTACTTGGAGTGAGCTGTGGGAGCGGGGCATTCATTGCTAGTAACCAGCAGGATGCTTTTCATAGATGTGTGCTATGAATGCCATGTAAAAACCAGATTCCACAGAATGTTGCACGCACATGAAAATACGCACGCAGCTGCGCACACATGTACCTATCCAGCCATCCATGAGAAAAAACTGTGTTAGTGGAACATCAAGCTGAGAAACCACCCAGTCTTCATTCTGTCACTTTGTGGGTTTGCCTTAGCCTATATTTGTGTGCATGCCTCTCTTTACTTCATTTTATAAGTTGTAAAAAGATGCAGTGTATATAAGAGAATACAAACTGGAAACTTCCCTCCTGCATATCCAGTACAATGTTGTGCTAACTGTGCCACAGAGGCTTTGCCTCTAACCTGATATCATTAGTGTAGAATACAAAAATGTCGTATCTAGACTGTCGAGAGAATTGTAATCACAAATGGCTCGCTAGACATGAGGCTAATTAACACTTTGTTGATGCATATATCTTTTCATAGAGATATTAGGCCTCCATTTTTAAAAAGCCAGACATCATTGCAGTCTCTCCTGTTTTTGATTTGTTCCCAGGTTGTTAGTGAGTACTTTCCCGCAGAACAGGCTACAGACTTTATTAAGGCCACATTGGGTGGTATGTTGTCTGCCAGCCCCACCTGTGCCACGGCAGCTGGACTGTGGATGAAGATCATCCTGAAGGAGTGTGGAGATGCCATGCTGGACAAGGTAAAACGGGAAACTGGAGAGGTTTTCTGCCTAAACTCTAGGCTTTTAGCTCTTTCCCCTTATGTGTAATGAACAAAAATCTTGCTGTTTCTCCCCCTCGGACATAGAGTCGATTCCATCTCTGTTCCTACCCTAAGATAGGCAATGGCAGAATCAATCGTAGTAGACAGAGATAATCTAAGGGAAAAGGAAGATGGTTGGTTATTTATTTGTCTAGCTTGTTGCCACAGTATTCAGCCAAGAAAGGCTTGAAAAAAGAGACTCTGGGGAAAATACAACAAGACAGAATGACTGGCACTTGGAATCATCCAGTTCTTAGGAGGCCTATGGCTAATGGCTACCTGGATAAAAATAGCACTGTAGTCATTCCCAGTCAATCTGGAGCCTGGGCTCTGAGACCCACCCTCTTGCCAGGTTTCAGAGCCTGGGCTCCAGCCCGAGCAGGAACAGCTACACTTTTACACTGCTGTGGGATTTTTTTGCTGTGTAGACGTACCCTTTAAGAATAGAAGGGGGGAGGGAGGGAGAAAACTATAGTGTCTTTGGGATCCACTATTTATATGCCTTATTCTGGAGCCCAGTGTGTTAGGGCTAGATGAAAGGAGCACTCCACAAATCTTCTAACAAGGCTGGTGAAAGGTCTCAGGACAGGGAACCCTTGCAGCAGAACTGCCATGTTTGCACAGTGTTTTGAAGATGTGAAGGGTTAGGAGTGAATACGAGAGGTCATCACCTGTTCATAGTCCCAGGCATTTGCACACTGTGTTTAAAGCACTTGCATATTTTGTGCTTGTGGTTGTTTATGAACTCCGCATTCTTCGAGGCAAATGGTCAGATTTGGCTGCTTAAATCACACCTGCAAAATGTGGGCAAGCAAAGCCTTCTTTTGTGCATGCGAACTGGTTTATTTAATGCATAGCTGGGCACCACCACATTAAATTACCTGGTATGTATATGTGTGTGTCAGTGTTAGTTTTTACAGCCAAGTGTGGGCAATTTTTGTGGGTTAAATTTATGCAGACATATTTGAACATTTGTTTCTTGAAGTGAAGAATTTCTAAAAAAGCAGCAACTGGCTAAATGGCTAAATAAAGGTTTTGATTCTGTAGAATGAATGGAGAGAAAGAAAAAGGGACATTTCTTTCTGGTTTTGTTCCTTCCAGGTGCCAGATATCCTGGTTATAATATATAGCCACATGTCTACTATCCAGGAGGGCAGCTTGAGGCAGTTCCTGGTGGAGGCGGTGTCCATTTTAGCTCACCGTGACCTAGAGACAGTGATCTCCAGCCTCCTCGGCGAACATCTGCCGATGGACAGGTATATACCGCTACCTATTGCATTCATCTTGGTGAAACATGGATCCCACAGCTTTACTGGGAGATGTAGGGCTTTATTTAAGCAGCAGACAGTTTGGGATAATTCCTAAAGGTTAATAGCCTGGGTCTTTCTGCAGGAAGGTCCAAGAGTATGTTAAGGTGGGGTGCGGAGAGAAACTAAGTGTCATTCTGTTTCCATTAATTAATAGCTGCTTTGATATCCTAAAGACCTATCTTTACTGGTATAACTGGAGTGTATTGTTGGAAACATCTACCTCTCTAGACACCTGAATTGACCTCACTCTGGGAATTAGCAGTGGCTGTTGGTTTCCTGGTAGCATGACAGCTTCAAATCCAAATCCCTGGCTGATTACAAAGAATAGAGCCAATATTATCATCAGACCTCTGCTTGGTATCAGTGAGGGTGTGGCTGCTAGAATAGAGTTGCTGTCCTGGGTACTTAAAACTGGACTGGAAGCAGATCCATCATTTCATTTAAAGATCCCTAACTGAGTTATCAGTTATCAGTGCTGGAATCTAAGACCATAAGAACGGCCATACTGGATCAGACCAAAGGTCCATCTAGCCCAGTATTCTGTCTTCCGACAGTGGCCAGCGCCACATGCTCCAGAGGGAATGAACAGAACAGGTAATTGTCAAGTGATCCGTCCCCTGTTGCCCAGTCCCAGCTTCTGGCAAACAGAGGATAGGGACACCCTTTGTGAAGGGGACATAGGATGGCCACGAATATTTGGTCTCATAGTTGTATGTCCAGTGTGGCAAATTGCCGGCACTATTATGTTGCGTCCTGCACTTTCTCCTCTTGTGGGGGTGCAGGGCACCGTTTCTCACCCCTGAACTGGGGTATCAACTGTCCCATTAGTGTCCCAGAAAAGGGGAGTGGAGAGGGAGGGACCTGGGCCCACCCTCTACTCCAGGTCCCAGCCCAGGGGCTCTAGGGATAGCAGTGAACCACTTGAACTAGCGATTCCTTCCCCTGGGATACTTCCCTCTCCGGCCCTTCAGCTTGTGGGGCTTCCTGCCCTCTCTCCGCTTGGGCCAAGTTTCTCCCAACCCCTTGTGTCTGTAGAGTCCCTCTGCTCTGCACAAGCCGGGTTTCCCTTTACCTAGGGTCTTGGTCTTCTGGCCCGCCACAGCACTTCTCCAAACTGCTTCCTCCAAACTGCTCTCTGCTCCAACACCAAACCACTCTGCTTCAACTCCTCCAACTGTCTGATTGAAGCAGGGGGGGTTTATCAGGTGACTGGCTTTAGGTGCTCTAATTGGCTTAATTGTTTTCAGGTGCTCTAATTAATCTGTAGCAGCCTCTCTTCCCTCTACAGGGACTAAGGCTCTCATCATCCTGGGGCTTACATATCTCCCATCTATCACTCTCCTGCTGTCCTCTGGCCGTGCTATATCACACCAGTTAGTAGGAATATGGCTTTTCCTTCATCAACTTGCCTTCCAAACCCTAGATCTTTGTAGCCACATGTTCATGATTCCATATTTACTGGAAAATGGGAAAGCAGGAACTGAGGTTGGCGCTCTGTGTCCTGTCCTTCTGAAGTCTAGTATTAATGGTGAGGCTGCAGTAAGACTAGGTCACTTAACCTAGTTCTGTAACTGGAAACTCAATATTTAAACACGAGGAGCGTTAAAGGAGGACAGTACTCCTAACTTTCTCATCATTGGCAAGGAGAAAATTTGGTCTTTACTTAAATATGACGTATTCAGTCTGAGCCACAAAAGTGTCCAGGGGTCACATGTAACTTCTGTTAAATTGCAGTGACATCACTGAGCTGTGGAGATCTCTGGGGGGAGACCCCTTGCTTGCCACTCAAGTCCTAAAGATCCTGATAAACAAGATAAAGACTCCAACAAGACAAGAAGGCCGCATCACCTCAGAGACTGAAATCGACAGGGATTTGGCAGCTGCTGAACCTCTCTCAGTAAGTAAAGACAGACATGTCTTTCAGGCTTTCCTCTGCCCTGTGACAATCCTGCTGATGCAAAGCTAGAAGTGTGGTATAATATTGCTGTGTGGGCACTTCTCCTCTGATGTAGGATGTTTCCCTGAGTCCAGCTCTGCTGTCTGTGGAACAAATACGGCAGTTTTAGAGTACGTGGCTGATTTACTTAATAACATCTGGCAATTAGCAAGTCTTTGAACCAGGTTTCTCACAGTGCTTTGCAAATATTCCTTAAGACTCACAACATGCCTTGGTAGGTCATACACATTTTTACAGATGTGGGAAACTGAGCCATGACTTAAGCGAGTTGCTTGCAGTCATTCAAGTTACTGGCAGAAGTGAGAATTTCATACAGCAGATCTCAGAAGGGGAGAGAGGGTGTGATGGTGTTGGGAAGAGCTCTCATTTTTTACCATTCTCTCCTTTCAGGCAACATGTGCCATCTCTGAGGTGGTGTCAGCACTGCAGTCGAGCAAAGCTGTGCAGGAGCTGCTCCCAGAGTTGTTTCCTGTTCTCCTGCAGCAGGTCAGCCGAACCCTAGGACAAGAGATGCCTTTGCCCAGGATAAGCAGCGGGATGCTATTCCGAGAAGACCTACAACATACTGAGGGCGACCCTTGCCGGTAATTAGAAGGAAGGGAGAGAAACAAGGAGAATTCCAATAGAGTTGTGTGACACTCCCCAGGAGTTCCCAGGGTTACGAGGCACCTTACCATCACCTGCCCTTAGAGTGAGGAAGTCTTGTCTGTGCCTGCTGTGGGTCAGTTCCCTGAAACGACCAGGCTCGTTTCAGGGAACTGAACAACAACAAACACTGCCATCCAGGCCTCCTCAGACTCTTTGTACAAGTTAGTGATAGGCACACACCAACCCCCGAGTCTTCTGACTGTTCCATAGAGTGTCCAGTCCTTTATCCACTGAACACCCACAGAATTACCAGGCCTGCTGTTCCCAATGGAACAGTACACACCAGTTTATTACTTATACTTTAGACTCTATACTTTATTACTTATACTATACGGCAAAACACACAGCACTTAGATATATTTATAGTGCAAACAAGAACAGAGATGATCAAAGAACAGAGATTCCAGTGATAGTGAGTAAGAATGCGAGCAAAAAATGGTTACATGTAAAATGAAATCATAACATGCTCTTAGAGACTAAACTTAACCAACAGCTTAATCTCCTGTCTAAAGATGTTTCTCACCCAAAGTTCTCAACCACGCCTGATAGCAACCCCGCGGTCCATATCACTGTCCATCTACTTCCTAAGTGAAAGATGCCAGGGTGTCTTCTTTGTCCCCCAAATATACTAGAGCACACCTTTGATGTGTACCCCAAAATTGAGTCCCCACCCCCTGTCTACTTCCTGTTACTTTTCTTTCTTTGAAGTTCTCACAGTCTTTCTGAACTGAATGTGAACCCTACATGCTTAATTTACAGATAAAGAAACAGATGGATAAACATTTCTTCCCTGAAAGAAAACTATTTTTTCACCTTTCCTGGTGACTAGTCCCTAGACACAGATCATAAGAATGTAATTTTCAATGCATATACATGACTCTTTACACCGCATCTGTACATGTGTTTCACAATGATATTGGTGACATGGGCTTTTATTTGAGACTCATATGGCAATCTTTTAGTGAACTAGAATGTACATACCAGACCACTCGGCACCCACTCTGTGCCCCTCGCCAGTTAACACTAAGAGATTCCTGAGTCATCAGTTGACTTCAGCTCTGATAGCCCATTAATGTACATTTCCCACCAATCTCACAACATTATTAGTTTCTATTATTGTTGTGTTTATTCTGTGCCAACAAGGTGCTCAAATTACAGACTTCAGGGTTTTATAATGTCTCTGAATTTTCCTAGGAAACCAGGATCTAAACTCTGTTCACGGATGGGCAGTGGCTATAAAATAAACATAAGTACTACTTCACACAACACACGGTCAACCTGTGGAACTCATTGCCAAGGGATGTTGTGAAGGCCAAAAGTATAACTGGGTTAAAAAAGAATTAGATAAGTTCATGGAGGACAGGTCCATCAATGGCTATTAGGCAAGATGGTCAGGGATACAACCCCAAGCTCTGGGTGTCCCTAGGCCTGACCGCCAGAAACTGAGACTGGACAACAGGGATTGGATCACTTCATGATTGCCCTGTTCTGTTCATTCCTTCCGAAGAAGCTGGCATTGACCACTGTTGGAAGACAGTATACTGGACTAGATGGACCATTGGACTGACCCAGTAAGGCTGGTCTTATGTAGTGGCCACAGTGAGTCAGGTTTTCAAACATGGGTGCCTAAGCTTTGTCCACAAAACTTGAATTTGTTCACATGGATGGATACCTAGCTATGTGATTCCTGGCGCTGCAGACACAAGTGTTCTGCTCCTGCTGTTGGCCCATGTGCAGGCCTATTTTAGGTACCTATATGTGAGGGGTGGTGTGCTGTGCCCCGGCCTCTTCCATGAACACAGACTGCGCTGAGTCCCTCCAAAGTGTTCTCGGGATGCCCGCTCCTGAGATCCTGGTGGTAAGGGCTCTGATGACTGTTTGACCCCAATGGATGATCTTAAGTCACCTTTACTCTTGACCTTTGTTTTCTTTCTCCTCCCTCTTGTCTCTCAGGGGACTTCTGCATCCTCACCTTCTCTGTGGCTTGTACTTTCGTGTCTAGGTTCCTCCAGCCCCTTTACATATATTTCCTCTTTATCTGGCCCTTCAGGTTTTGTTTCCACCCTCCTGAGCCTCCATACATGCCTTGGTGTCCCTGTTAGAAAGGGATGCCAGTCCATGCCCAGTAGAAGGCAGTGGGGCAACCCATCCACTACCCCTACATGTTTCTGCCTAAACTTCCCCTTGATTTCCAGAGTCACCTCTGCCATTGGGCAGAATTTATTGTCCCCATGTACATATTCAGTTTTGATCCTACCTCTGGGAAGTATCCAGTGGGGTTTCACTAACTCCTGCCCGATTAACAAACAGGATGAAGCTGTGTCCATTAGTCCCTTTGGTGGCTCCTCCCTACCCATACCGATATGGTAGGTACTTTCTTTTTTCTTCCCTGCCTGGGAGTCTTATCCCAGCCACAAAACTGTGCAAACCCACAGTCCATTTTAGGACAGTCTCTTTTTAGATGTCCTTCACGTCTATGTCGGTAGCACACTGTAGGACAAGCTCCCACTACAGTTCCTTGAGGCGCCTCCCTCTTCTTCTTGCTGCCCTTCCCAGCTGGAGGCACTCTGGTCCTTCTCAAATCTAGTCCCTTAAACCACTGACTCACTCTGGGAATGTCCGCCTCTGCAAATTCCTCTAACTTTAACTGTGGGGTCCAGATTAACTGGCTGGCGCCACGTAACCCATGCTCGGGTATGCTCAGGGAGACTCTGAAGAAACTTCCAGAATCATGCAGTCCATGATCTCCCCCACAGTTTGAGTATCTGGCCTTACCAATGAGTGGCCCAATCTTTTAATTTCTGTCCAAATGCACAGAAGCATAATCCCTCAATCCATCTTTCAATTCTCCATTTCTGGCAGTACTTTTCTGTGGACAGGCCCCACCTAGTCCAGCATGGCTGCCTTAATCATGTCATAATCTCTTGCCTGCTAATCACTAAGACCCATATATGTGCTTCCCCGGTTAAATAGGGTGTCAGTTGAAGACCCCACATTGTTCTGTCCCTATGAGGTCTCACTGCTGCTCCTTTAAGAGTAACCAAAAACACATCAGGGTTGTTCGCAGGTCCCATTTTACAGAGTCTGATCTCCTGTGCCTGGTTTCCATTTCCTGTCACAGGACTGGCCAAACTTTGGAGGATTTGTTGCCAGACCTGGGCTTGCTCCTGTATAAATTCCTGAAGGCTCTTTTGCTGTTAAACCTACCAGGCAAGCAAAGGCTGTTTTTCTGCATGGTGGGATTGTTGGAAGGTCTGTAGGGTCTTCTACACCAGCAGTTCTCAACCAGGCCGGTTTTAGGGAGTCCGCTAAGCAGGGCTGGCATTAGACTAGCTGGGGCTTAGGGCAGAAAGCTGAAGCTCTGAACCCAGCCACGCTGGAGCCCTGAGGCCCAGCACCTGCACTAAAGCCCCGAGCCTCTGCACCCCATGAGGTTAAAAACCAGAGCCAGGAGCCCCAAACTCTGATGCCTGGCAGGGCAGAGGCCTGGAACTGGGCCATGGAGTATTTGTAGCATGTTGAGGGTGGGGGGAGGCTCAGAAACAGAAAGGTTGAGAACCCCTGTTCTACACTTCTCTTTGCTGCTTCACCATCCATTTCAGTGTTCCCTCCATCACCCGGACTGCCAAAACCTCTACACCGGCTTCTCCAACAGGCTCTCCATTTGCATAGATAACAGGGAAATCCCTGATGAGCCCCCAGCTGTGACAGAGAGGGGTGTTGCACCCCCACATCTTTCACAAACACAGACCGCGTTGAGACTTTCTTGCTTGTAAGCACCAATATATAGTCTATTTAATCCCCCTACCAATACATAGCACCTTTATATTGTATCTCAACTTTCTAAACTCTTCTCCAAAAGCGGGGGCTAAGGTGTTTCCACTCAGAGACCTCACTTTGTCAGGCTCTCCTAGCTTTTTGTCTTTCTGTTTCTCCTAGCGTGACCAGACAGCAAGTGTGAAAAATCAGGACAGGGGGTGGGGGGTAACAGGTACCCGTATAAGATAAAGCCCCAAATATCGGGACATCTGGTCACCCAAGTTTCTTTCTCTGTCTGTTCCCCTCAAAGAGCTCCTGCCCATGTCCTTTTATACAGTTTCCCTGTTAATGGACTGATTGGTTCCTTGACTCACTAGCCCCAATCTGACCTCGTAATCAGGCACACCTCTGTCCAATTAGGCCTTCTGTGAGGAACCAAATTAGTACTAATAGTGACCAGAGTGCTGATTCAAGTGCAAACCCTCAACTCTCTGTCACATCATAAATGTCCATTAGTGATCACCACACTCTATGCCCCCAGTGTTTGGGTCCTGATCATGTATCTTTTCCATATCATTGTACTCTGCTAGTGCCCATACTCCTTGCAGAAAGGGAAAAATGACTGCAAAATTTTGTCCCTAGCAAAACTAGTCATATGAGATGTATGAGATGAAACTTACCTCCCAGCATCAAGTCCTTCCAGGGACACTGGTGTCCAGGATATTGCCAATGGATGAACTGTCGATGAACAGCAGACCTGACAAGTAACCGGGGCTTCCTTGCTCTGTTCAGGCTGCACCTTCCTACTGATTGCTGCAGTTCTGTGCCTCTCTTTCCCCAGGCTTTCTATCCAAGCATTAGAGGCTGTGCTTTTCAAAGCCGGGAATGAGAGACTGGGGAGAGCGCTCAGGGAGCAGAGAACATGGAGTCTGCTTGAAAACCCCAAGACTCACCATGAGGGAGTGTGTCTGCTGGTGAGGTAAGAGATCTAGGAGGCATGATTTTATCCTTGGGAATCAGTAGCAAATAGAGTGTCTGAGAGGGAACCTCCAGTTTATAGCTTTGTGGGGGGTGCCCTGGGTGGAAACACACAGCTCCTATTCATAGATATCAGTGCTGTATGCTCAGAGCAGCTGAGTTTTTGAAGTGTGCAATCTACCCCATAAGCGGTTTATTTTGTCTTCCAGTGTTCTGCTAAGATCTGGACTAATAACACCTGAGATCTTACAGAGCCTCCTCCCCTGGGTGAATTCCCCAACAGAAAACCTCCGAGTCACCAGCACAGCTTTCCTTGCCCAGGTAAGACACAGGGTTCTGAAGAGCAGTTTCACCATTAGACTGTTGTCTCATGTTTGCCTTTCTTTCGGGAGTTGTACAGTTCAGTTCATAGGAGTAATTGTCATTTTAGATAGTAGAATGGGTCCTCCTTTATATGGAAACCTCACAAGGAATTTCATTACACCTTTCTGAGTCATTCTCTCTCTGATATTTTTATTGCTGTCATTGCCTATGCTAGCTACACAACCACTGGTGCTGGCTGAGAGAGATACAGACAGAGTTTGAATTCCTGGACCTCTTCTGCCAAGTCCTAGTGCTGATACTAACCAACAGCTCCTGATTTTGGTTTAGCTCAGCAGATCTTCTGAATGAACCTAGTGTCCTAATACTATAAAACAAGCAACATGCAAATACATTCACATCTATCTTAGGTTCTCATTACTGTAGTATCTGAGTACCTCAAAACTCTTTAATGTCTGTATCCCCACGACACTCCTGGGAGGTAGGGAAGCACAATGATTCCTATTTTACAGGCAGGGAGCTGATCCACAGAAGGGCTAAGTGACTTGCCCAAGGTCTTTGAGGGAGCAGGAAATTGAACCTGGGTCTCCTAAGTCCTGGGCTAGTGTGATAACAGCTGGACCATCCGCCCTTTCCACAGCCTTCTTCTAACATCGGCATCATATTTCCCACTTATGCTAAGCAACTATCTTAGGGGCTCATCTGGTTCTAAGAAAAACAATCGATCTGTGCCTGTGATGGGCTGTACCTGGGCTTTGAGGCTCTTTACAAGAGGCCCCGTGGTCCTACTACACCCTGCCCCAGGAAAACAGCCACAAATCTGGGTCTGACTAGAGAGGACTCATGAAAGCAGCCAATCAGAGCCCATCAGGCTCAGCTAAAAGGAGCTGCAGGGCCTTAGCAGGTCAGTTCCTGGCAGGACCTGGAGGGGCAAGAAAGGGTGCTGCTCTCTGGCCACAGAAATTCAGGGGATAGCCAGAGTTTGATTCTGGCAGCATTTGCTTAAGCTGGATTTGCAGGAAGAGGGTCCCTAAGAACTTTAACCCGGAGGTGAGGGTGAAGCTAAAAGTGGCCGGTAGGAAGAAGCAAAAATGAACTGAAATCAAGCAGTGCCTAGCTACTGTTTCCAGGGTCCATGGTTTGGAACCCAGAGTTATGGGCAGGCCCTGGTTCCCCTACCATCTACAGTGGCATAAGCCCCACGGAGGGGACAATGCTTATGGAGAGCTTGAACAAAGGGCAGAATTTCAAGAACCCAGAGTTGGGGCTGGAGACCCTAGTGAGGGCAATGGGATTGTTCTTGACTACCCCAGAAGGGGTTCATTTGGACTTTGGGACGCAGCCAGAGGCCTGAGACACAGAAGACTCACTGAGGTCGGCTGGCAGGGTGCGCCAGGGGTGAGAAAAGGACTGTGGTACCAGACCCAGCCACTAAGAGGCTCTCAAGAGGTGAGTGGATCCCTATTATAGTGCCCAAAAGGAAAGCTCCATGTTTTAAGACATTTCTCATTTGTGTGGAATAATAAAGTTACAGTGTCTTATGTGCCAAGTATCAGAGGGGTAGCCATATTAGTCTGTATCCACAAGACTGTGGCTGTAGGAGGACTCCTTGTTGTTTTTAGTGTATTCCATGTCTGCTCAAATTATATTGCCAATCTTAATGATCATATTGGTGCTAATGGACATGTTGATTTTATTTCAGCTAATGAGTGATTCCATGCTCAGGGAGAAGAAGTTCCTTAAGTCTGTCTTGAGCATCTTGGAAGAAAGGTCACATGATAGGAACAGCATTGTCCGCCAGATGGCTGTGAGAGGCCTGGGAAATTTAGTCTATGGCGCACCTGAGAAGGTAAGAGAGATTACTGAATAGAATGCAGCATAACTAGAGAAACCAAGAGAGAGAGTTGTTCAGAGTTTACAGAGGCTGCACAAAATGCACTAGGCCAAATTCTGCTCTCTCATATACCCTAGTAACCTCTTTGCAGTAAATATAGAGCAAGCTGGATCCTTTGGTAAGCTGGGCATAAGTCAACCATGTGCACTTTAATATGACCATATGTAAATGTATACATCTGGGAACAAAAAATGCAGGCCATACTTACAGGATGAGAGACTCTATCCCAGGAAGCAATGATGCTGAAAAAAACTTGAGTCATGACAGATAATCAGTTGAACATAAGCTCCCAATATGAATTTGTGGCCAAAAGGGCTGAAATGATCCTTGGAGGTATAAACAGAGGAATCTTGAAGAAGAGTAAAGAAGTTATTTTCCCTCTGAATATGGCACTGCTGGAATACTGTGTCCAGATCAGGTATCCACAATTCAAGAAGGATGCTGATAAATTAGAGAGGATTCAGAGAAGAGTCGCAAGAATTATCAAAGGATTGGAAAATATACCTTTAGTGATAGACTCAAGGAGCTCAATCTATTTAGCTTTACAAAGAGAAGGTTAAGGAGTGACTTGAGGACAGTCTATAACTACTCACATGGGGAATAAATTTTGATAATGGGTTCTTCACATTAGCAAACAAAGGTATAACAAGATTCAATGGGGAAAAATGAAGCTAGGCTAATTCAGACTGGAAATAAGGCATACATTTTTAATGGTAATTTTAATTAACCATTGGAGCAATTTACCAAAGGTGGTGGTGGATTCTCTGTCACTAGCAATTTTAAAATCAAGATTGGATGTTTTTCTAAAAGATACACTCTAGTTCAAACAGAGACTATTTCGGGGAAGTTGTATGTTATGCAGGAGGTCAGACCGGATAATCACAATGGTCCCTTTTGGCCTTGGAATCTAAGTAACTAGGAATCTAATAATAGGATTACACAGGTGTATTATGGCACCAATGGTCTGAAATATAGCTATAGGTCTCTGGGGGGGAGACGGGGTTGATGAAATTCCCACAGCTTCATAACTGCTAAAGAAAACTTATTAGAAGTGTGATCAGTGATAAGTGTTCTTTAATGTCATATGTTTGTACAGGTGAAAAAGTACAAGTACAAGAAGTTTCTTCTGGACATACTGATCGGGGCCTTACATGACATTTTCAGTTCGGAAGTCATTGGCGAGAGCATGAAAGCACTGGCCAAAGTCCTGAAGGAGCTGAAAGAGAAGGACATAGGTTCTTCCTTCAAAGACCTCACCCAACAGATCCGGACTTACTTTGACGATGTATGTGAACAGATCTCTCCAACCTCAGTTCAACCGATCTTGATTAGACTCCATTTACAATGCGTGATGTGGACTCCCTGGGCATTACTCATGTCGGAGTGAAGAGATTTTAGGCCCCAGGGAAGAGAGGTGTTTTACGGAGGAGGAGAACATTAGGAGGATGGGGATGACATCCCTGCTCCCACAGTCTCACCCTTCTATTCTTCTTTATTGCCACTGAGAACCTCAAAGAAAGTCTGAATACTAGATTAGGTAGCTAGATAACCATGAAATGGGGGTTACAGAGTACAATAGAGAGTGTTGGGCCTGTTCTATACCATTTTTATGTGAGAGGGTTGGAATGATCATTCTGTTTTGCACAGAATTTAGAGATTTCAAATTTGGGTTTTGTTCCTATTTGTGGGAACCCCTCTCCCCAAAGTTCAAAACTCTTTGTGAAACAGAATTACTATTCTCAACCTAGCTCTATTGGAAGCGTTGGCCCAGGGCAGTCTGCTTTCAGACTATCCCGGTGCTGGGAACCCAGGAAACTCTGGGAGCTAGAGGTGCCAGGGAGTTGCAAATTTGAGAGCCAGGACTCCCAGGGTCCCAGAAGCTGGGGGCCTGGAAGCCCACGATCCCAATCAGCCTGCTAGATTGGCTGCTACAGAGCTGGATGGGTGCACTGGAAAGACACCAGGCAAGTTTCTAAGGACCCCTACCTGGCTTCCAGAGGAATTTCATCAAAACTGAACTGTCTCTAAAATATTTTGATGAATCAGCAAATTCGAACAAAAAATTGGTTAATTACCGTTTTTCCGACTAGCTGTAGTTGGAATCACTCTACTTTAGCGTAGAAGAGATGGCTGTGCAAAGTGCATGATGTGATTGTCTCTTAGTTACTAACTTGCAGGGCTTTCTTGGCTGTAGGTGGATGATGCTCTTCGCTCAATGGCCTTTGTCCTATTTGGCATCCTGGCCCGGCTGACAAAGAGAAAATGGAAGACCTATTTCGCCGACCAGGTTAAAAAGAGCTGGGTCACACTTCTGCTGCACCTGCAAGACCCAAACCCTGAGGTTTCAATGGTAAGACCGACAGTGACTTATTTACTAAGCAAAAGGAATCTTCCTCCCAATGCCAGGGGAGCTCTGCTATTCCTGCCTGCTGTGGAGGCCCAAATTCTCCCCTCAGTTCATTGCCCTCCTGCTGAGTCAGTTCCAGACAGGTTGGTCCATGGCTGCCTCACCAGAATCCAGGAGAGGTCATGGGTCTGACCCCGACAGGTCTCTGTTCCTGTCTGTCTCTGCACCCCAGGCCCCTGCCTCCCCAGAACAGAGAGACCACAGCTATGCCTGGTGCAGCAGCTTTCATCGGTATATCTGTTCCCAAAAGACATTGATGCTATCTCCAGATTTCAGTTGAAGCTCTCCCGTCTATTAGTCATTCCTGCATGTTTTCTGCCAATTACATCCAGATGAATCCCTTTTTTTGATCCTGGAATAGATGAGCAGTCACGCAGATGAGTTCCCTTTGAATGAACATAGCACTCGGTAGGGAACAATTCAATGGTGTGACACTCTTTTTCAGGAATGCAGAGCTACGTTTCACCTCTGTTTCCCATTTTTGGGACTGAAGAGACTCCAAAGTGCAATTAATGAGCACCTTGGTGGCACAGCTGAGCTGAAGCCTAAACAGCTCCAGGTGGACATTTGCAGATACCTTGTGAGTGAGCTGTTGAACTGTCTGAGATTATTGACTGGAGTGGTGGTGTAGAGGTGCGGGGGGGGGGGGATGTGTGATGGATAATGTAAATAACTGTAAGAGTGGGATATATGACTGAGGGTGATGGGAAATGTAAATCTGCCACATTGTTCCTACTTCTACCCAGCCACCTGTTCTCTATCTTATTTACCTGTGGTTCGTAAAAGCATGTGCTGGCAGTCAAAGGGCACTTCTAGCCAGAGAGAGCTCATGTGTCCCTGATTTCCTCTAGGTCAAAAACAATGCAGAGCTGCTGGAGAAATTGTACCAAATCACCATCACGTACTTCTATAGCAGCTGGGAAGAGATCCGGGCAGTTGCAGCCAACTTAGCTGGTGAGAGATGATGCCCAGTATCCCTTTTGGTAATTCCATTGAGGGAGTCAGAAACAATCCCACTGTGCAGCGCTGAGCTGCCATTAATCTCTCTGTGCCTCAGCTTCCCATCCATAGATGGAGATGTTAATATCCCTACCTCTCCAGTGTGGTGGATTAGTTGCTATCAAGTGCTTCGGGATCATTGCAGGGAAAGCACGGTGCAGTCATTTAGTAGTAGAGGCAGGGACATTGTCATGTAGGGCATGGTTACACTTTGAGCTGGGTGTATAATTCCAGCTTGATGAGACGTACCCGCACTAGTCCTGCGTGCTAAAAATAGAGAGTAGTTGCGATGACAGGAGCAGCAGAAGGTTTAACCACCCCAAGTATGATCCCATCCAAACCCCAAAGTCTATTCTCAAGGTGGCTAGCTCCTCCCACTGCTTGTGCTGCCTTAGCTACATTCTAATGTTAGCATGCTATCGCTGTCAGAGCCAGTGTGGGCATGTCCCATTGAACTGGGAGTGATACCCCTAGATCAAAGTGCAGACCTACCCACAGTGTTGTTCAGTGCTCCTCACTGCTACTTCATCATTGGGAGGCATGCAGCCCACCTCCCCATAGCACCTGCTGTTTCAGGTTCCTGGCCACACCACCTTGTCAAGGAAGCATTAGGTTCCTCCTCTTTGGCCCTGTGCCCTCTTCACCCTAGCACACCCATGTGAGACAGACAGGCATTGTGGCCTACGTCTCACCTATCAGTCACCTTGTGAGATCCCTGCTTAGAACTCACTTATTCCTGGCCCCAGTCCTTTGCACAGACCACTAGACCAAGACACTATCTTAGTATGTCTCCAATAACTGACAGCAGTGGCAAGAGGAACACAGACTGTTTCAAGCAAATGGGTTTTATGGAAACATTCTTTTTAAAAAATGTCTCTCTCATTCTCTTCAGTGTGGACTCTAAACTGCTGTAGCATCCTCTTGCCCACAGCTCACCCTTAGGCCCACAGTAGGAGACGCCAAAGACCTGTCTAGGGGCTGCTAATATCACTTTGCACTCAACAAGGGAAGGTTTTATTATTATTGTTGTTATTTATTTTACATTGTGTATTTAGGCATCATCCTGGAACACACAGACAGGCAGCGTATGAAATGGCTGGACCTGGAATATCTGCTGATGTGTAAGTAATAAATACAGCTGAAGTCCTGTTCATTAGTGAGTTCTAAAGGAATTTAGCTGGCAAGCAGCAGTAACCGATACCACTGGTGCAAAGTGCATCAGCCACACAGCAAAGGACAAATTCACTCTTGCCCAGTAGAAAGTCCGCTTTAATTTTCCCTAAAGGAGGAAGCTGCAGAAGGTGTGATATGAGTCAGTACATCTCCTGGTTGTCCTGGCAATGCCCCCTCCACAGCCAGTGCTATCCACTCTTTGGGCTTTATTGGCTCTCTGTGGACTCCCCAGGTGAGAAGAAGTTGTAGCCACTTTCTGCTACCTCAAATTTCCCACCAGCAATTTTTCTTCCAGTAGGTGCCCTGTATCATGCATAAACCAGTTTGGACCTGGCCTCTGTTAAATTCCAGGTTTATTTGAGCTCAGGCAGTGTCTCCTGAATAGAGATGGAAAATAAACTTAAAAGTGGAAGCTATTGAAACAATGGGCCTTCTTCCATTTACAGCAGAGTGGATGACTTTCTGGTAGAGTCAGGGTCTCCCCCCAGTTGGGAGCATGGAAGGGACCGAGTGGAAGAACCTAAAGCTTTGTTTGTATTGGAGAGCTGCTGTAGTGTGCTATTCAGAGGTAATAAGTCTCCAGCTATTTCAGGCAGAGGTGACTATATGAAAAGTGAGGCATATTCATCTCTCGTGTATTTTCCATCCCAATAGAAGGACTGAGCCCAGTCTCACATTTTTCCATGTGATCATTCTGCTCAGGTAGTTCAAGGTTCTGTGATCACACTTAGCTGCGATTTGACAGTCTGTTCACTAACATGTTGTCCTCTGTAATTTCAGCTCTCCAGGTCCTACAGAAAGACCCAAGTCCCACTGTCCAGCTGGTGGCAACTGAGATCATAAGTGACATCTCTTCTGGCCGAGTGATTGGGGAATGAAGCGGAACGGAGATAAACAGAAGAAGGCGCTCCAGTAGTATAAGGGCCCTACTGTCAATCAAACGTTAACCCCCACCCCTTGCCCACCGGTCACCAGAAGTCCCACACCCATGGGGTATTACTTCCGGGGTCAAGGCAGACACATAACCAGAAGCAAGATGTGTCATGTGGCCCCTCTAAGAACTCCTCCCACTGCCCTCTACCAATCAGAAGGGGTTTCAGCCACTGGGGACCACCCCAAGAGATTTGACCAACTGGGGGGAATTCTGGGGTGGGGTGACCCATCCGGAAGTATTTCATGTGACCCCTCTAAGAACTCCTCCCACCACCCTTTACCAATTGCGATGGGTTTTGGCTGCAGAGGACCGCCCCAAGAGGAGATTTGGCCAAAATAGGCCAAGTTCTTGGATGGGGTGAACCGCCCAGAAGAGGGTCATGTGACCCCTCTAAGGACTCCTCCCAACACCCTCTGCCAATCAGAGTACAGAACCATCACCCCATAAGTCCCAGTACCGGGCAGAGGAGGCAATCTCTTACCAAGAAGACATGTTTTAGAAATTGTGGAAAGGCTGAGAGGAAACATGGACTCCTCTACCACCCCCGTGAGAACTTCAGACTTTGTTTTAGCCCCGAGGACCTTTGGACTTGTATGGAGAAAGTGCTACAGCAGTGACAGTTCCAAGGAGGGCCCTTTGACTCCACCGTTGATAGATACCTTGGAACCCGACCCCGAAACCCAAACCAATGAGTGTGACGGCCTCTCATTGTCCACTCCCCTAAAGTTGGAAGAGGATCATGGCTTGGGGGAGTCACCAGCGGACAAGGTGAACGGGAAAGATGTCGCTCAGGTAAATGAATGATTAAGAAGCGACGGTTGATCATGGGGGTGTAATGGGGTTAGGAATCGACCTAGCATTGCATAAATCTAAAAACAAGCAGTGGGGTGCTTACACTGTTTTTTGTCTGAAAATCTCTCAACAGCTCGATGATGCCTTTCTAGAGGCCTTTGAGAACTTACACATCGGTAGCCCTGTGGGAGTAAATATATCATGCATCAGCTGTTTTTGCTCCTGTCTGAGACACAGATCTCAAGAGGAAAATCCAGAAAAGGACAAAATAGAAGAATGAACCAGATCAGACTCCCTCATTGTAGGGGTCATGGCATCCATTTTTACAGGGGGCTGTAAAAGGTTGTGTTAAACCAGGCAATTAATAAAACTTATTTAAATGTGTCCATATGAATGTGTCCCCCTCCATACTTGTGTTAGTAAAAGATGGTACCGGGAACAGTCATGTCTTCACCTATGGCTCTGTTAAAGAAAATATATTACACCCCCAGGGAAGTTGGGAGCTTGGCGCGGTGAATCCTCTTTTTCAAGTGGCCAAAAAGCATAGTAAAACTTTAACTAGAAGACAGGTAACAGCTTGGCTTTCAGACCAGGATGCTTACACTTTACACAAACTGGCTCGAATACAGCTTCACAGGAAGGATTGGGGCTGATGTACATTAAAAGGAGGAAGAGAAAGAGAAATGTATCATACCTGCAATGCACTGGTCCCCCAATACCCTTTAAAAGAAGGGCTTTGATGCGCAGGGCCAGCCATAAACGAAAGTCCAAGAGGAAGCCTGGGCGAAAGAGAAGACGCTCTCCGCCTGGTAAAAGAGAGATATTTTAATCAACATGGCTTTTGTTCACTGCGGGTCTGAAGAGTGCACCAAATCTGAACTAGACTTGTTTCAAATAGCCCCTACGCAGACCAGCATTGAGAAAAGCATCTACATTGAGGTGCCGCCTCTATCGGCTGTTTCGGAGTCTGCCCCCATTGATGTTTTTATAACAGGGAATGGCATCGATTATATGGATTTAAACAACACGCTGCTGCATCTATGTTGCAAGATTGTAAAAGGAGACGGAACTGAACTCGCCATGGACGCTGAAGTGGGCCTGGTGAATTACCCCGTGGCCTCTGTTTTCAGTCAGCTGGATGTCACGCTTGTAAGCCAAAGCAACAACTGTTACCCTTACAGAGCCTTTATAGAATCGGTGCTCAATTACAGCGACGACACCCTTGACACGCAATTTTCTGCTGGCCTGTTTTACAAAGGTGCTACCGGACAACACGAAGAAACAGAGTTGGATGGCGGGAATCTAGGGTTTGTGAGGCTTGCAAAGCTGACGGCCCAGAGCAGGATGGTAGAGCTGCTGGGTCATCTATGCAGTGACCTGTTTTTTCAAGAAAAACTTTTCTTGAATGGAGTGGATGTGAAAATTAAACTGACGCGCAGTAAAGACGCCTTCTGTTTAATGAGCAGTGCAGGCGAAGGCTTTAAATTGCGTATTGTATCAGCATCCCTTTTTGTGAAAAAAGTACGGGTGGCCCCGAGTTTTCGTCTGGGGCATGCAGAGGCCCTGCTTACCCCTAATGCTAAATATCCCGTGGACCGTGTGGGAATGAAAGTGTTTAGCAACCCCGCAAGCAGCGGGGTCAGTAACCAGGAGAACCTGTTTTGGGGACAGTAACCCAAAATGCTTGTCCTAGGGTTTGTGGATAATGATGCCTTTAGCGGAAGTTACACTACAAATCCCTTTCATTTTAAACATTATGATATTAATTTTGTGGCCTTGTATGTAGATGGTGAACAGATACCAACCAAGCCTCTGCAACCAGACTTCGAGGCAGGACGCTGCATGAGAGAATACATGAATCTGGTACAGACAGCTGGTAAACACATGAAAGGTCGTTCTCTGTTAATCGACCGTGAGGAGTTTGCACAGGGTTATACCTTGTTTGCCTTTGACCCGTCTCCCGACCAGGAATGCGCCGATCAGTATTCCCTGATTAAAACCGGGAACCTGAGAGCAGAAATACGTTTTGGGAAGGCTTTAACCGTCACCGTCAATATGATCGTGTATGGGGTTTTTGACAACGTCATAGAGCTAAATCAGAGGAGAAACGTTCTGTTTGACTATATGTGAACATGGACACCATGCAGCTCTCACATGTCTTATCAACGGACCCTTACACGAAAAAGAATTTCTTAGATGTGTTCCTTTGCGATTGGCTCCCTGGAGGCAAGCTGTCTCAGAGACCCCTAGCTTTGGTGGTCAACACGCATCCACACAACCAACCTGGTGAACACTGGCTCACCTTGTATCTGGCGGAGCATAACCGTGGAGAGTTTTTTGACTCATATGGGCACCCCCCAAACAGTGTGTTGTTTCCTAAAAACATTATGAAATTTTTAAACAAAAATGCCACAGACATTGTGTTTCACAATAGACAATTACAAGACCCCTGCTCTGTCGCCTGCGGCTATCACTGCGTGTTTTTCTTACATCATCGTAGCAAGGGTTTATCTTTTGACCGGATTTTAAAATTCTGTTCTAATGACTTTAGTGCAAAACGACCGGATGGTGATGAATTTTGTAAAAACTAAATTTAAATTCTTGGGCATGCCTAGCCTTGCTCAAAACATGTTTCAACAAGCCCAGACATGCGTATCTTGCAATGATTTTGATAGCCATGTTATCCAATATTCTCAGGCATAACAGACAATGTTTGTTTGGCATTATCCAACATGATAATTTTTTATAAAGTAACTTTTCCCACAGTTGCTAGGCCCCACGAGAATTGCAGAAAAGAGGTGTTTCCACCTCATATCTATTTTAAAAGCCGTAGGGCAAGGTTTTAAACCCTTCTCCTAGGACCCTCTTATTGTAAATGACTTTCTGTGTTTTCTTAAGGGTTTTTGTCTCTATTTGCCACTGATTTTTTTGTTCTTTACGATAGAGGGCTGCTGCACCTCTATCTTTTTTGAGGTGTTTTCTTGCAGGCTCGTGCAATAGTCCAGGACTAGATCTTTCAAACTGTCAAAGTTGGTCTTTTCACAGTTTGCTATGTTCAGGGTAATACCTTTGACTTTCATGCAGGCCTTTCTTCCCGACAGCTTATACCTGTATGTTTTCGGGCCTGCCAACACAAACTTGGTGTTGATCTGGCAGGACCTTGCTTGTGAGGTCCCCTAAATAATCCCACAGAGGGGGATTCCAGTCACCCTCCCTTTTCACAGATATCACCGAGTCAGTGTCGTGGTACAGGCACCGCTCTTGCAACCTGTCTAGCAGGCTGCATAGTTCTAAGCGGGCGTAAGCAGTGGTGAAACAGGCTATGAAAACATTGGTATTTCCAGAGACAGAGTACCGGTCTTTTGTGTGTTTCCAAGACACGCACGCTGTTTCATCGTCGATAAACTCACAGGATGAAACCTCGTAGTTGGGGGGAAACAGGTACTGAAAGAGTTGGTCAGGGTCTCTCACGATGCTGATGTTGGGTAGGTTTGTTCTTTGGTCGAATTTACCCCACAGCGAATTTTAAAACAGTTTAGCGATTTGGCGTTTAACGGTGTTAAACCTGATCTCATGTTGGCATAAATGCACGTCTTCTTTCTGGTAGAAATCGTTAATGTACTTATTTTGTTTTTCTTTGTCTGTGCACCAGCTGGGATATCCTGAAGCCTTTTGTTTCTGGTGGAGGTGTAATTTTATGTACTCTGAAAAGAGTTCATCAGATTTTTCATTAAAATGCCAGTTTTCATATATTTTAGCCACCGCGTACCCCTTCGCTATGGCCGCGTTCAATTCCACCGTGCACCAAGTGCCCAGGATGGCCCTCTCCTCATCAGTATGGGTGCACGTCTCCCGCTGCTCGGTTTCCACACAGGTTCAGCATAGCGGGAACATAAGCTTGCCACCTACTCTGACAGGTAACAATGGGAAAAAGAAGCCTCGGGGGGGGGGTACACTTTAACTTTTGCAATTCCAGAATAATTTGCAAGGGGTCCCAATTTGTCATATACTATATTGGGGTGTCCGATAGGGTATTCTTTGGTTTTGCTTACGAAAGAGTACAGGCTGGTAAAATCATAATAGTGGATTTCTTCCCTGTGGTTAGGTTTGTAATATAGGCAGATAGCGTTTGTCCTCCCCCGAAAAAGAGCA